GATACACACACCGGACGAGATACTTGTTCCGCCACTTTACGCGGCCGAAACACATGGCCCCGCCATGATGTAATATCGTAGGAGGAGAAGATCTCGTCCCGACGAATGCAGGTCGCGATCAAAGATTAGCGGTTTACAGCTCCTGGCAGTGCGGTCCGATTAAAACAGATCATCTTCGGATAAAAGTTAACGGGCTCTCCTTCCCCCCCCCCCCGTCCAACGATCTTCGTTCAAAATAACCGGGAAGACGCGCACTCGCGAGAAACGCAATCAGGTCTGACTGTAAACAACTATAAACGACTCTCCCCGAGCTGTATTGTAATTTGTTAATTGACCTGCTGCGTTTTCTGTCCGACGCGCCGAAAGAACCGGGACCGTCGACGAACTTCGATCGACCTCGAAGTAGATCGAATCCGGCCGAGCGAGATCCTCCACGCGAATTCCCCGCGTGATGCGTCGCGGCGTATGCAGGGCGCGGGGCTCTGTTTACACGAAACTAAAAACTTGGCCTTCCCACAGTTTGATTCACTGGACGCTTGACTCCGGGAAACCGTGCCAGGAAAATAGTACGGCTATTTTATGAGGTACCTTGAGGAGGCACGGCGAGAGTTATGTGGGACTTCGTTTGGCCGGAAATTTCATGCTGCACGCGCGATTGCGCTTGGCCGCCTCCTTGTTTCTCTCTCTCTCTCTCTGGTGAGACGAGTCCGTGCTCTTAATTTTTAGCCACCGGAGCGAGACAATTGTTGCTGTGTGTATTGTTGCGTAAAATTACGGAGCGATTATTTGTCAGAGAATATATTCGCCAGATTTCCTAGAGAGAAATCTAACTCGAAGAACAAAGTGGCGAGTTGTTCGAATCCGAGGGATCGTTCACTCATACAAAGTGAATTTTCCGCTCTGAATCATCGAGTAAATATTTTCACTAGATTCGATTGAGCATCGAAATTGAATCTGACGTATTCTGTCGCCACAGGAATAATTTTACCCTCGAATCAAATGAAGCATTCTCTCGTGTGAAACGTCTATCCAATATTTTTTCTTCCATTTCAAAAAAATTATGCTCGAATAACAAGAATATAATAAGAATATAATGTAATATTTGTAGTGGAACTATATAATAATAAGAATATGATAAGAATATAATATTTTTAGTGGAATTATATAGAATTTTTTCATATAAGCAAATTTTATTTTCATATAAGAATATATATTCTTGTTTATACATATATGTGAGAATTCTGATTCTTGAATAGATATTAATTTTTTTCCCTGCACGGATAGTTCACTCTTACGATTTCGAATTTTTTCATCAACGTTTCGGATAGTTCACTCTTACGATTTCGAATTTTTTCATCAACGTTTCGGGTAAATCGCCACTTGTTCTGAATGAGATTTCACTCTAAGAAATTTAGAAAGTGCTTCACGTGTGATAAATAATCGCTTCATGCTCGGTTATAACTCCGGAGAATGTACTTTGCCCCAACGAAGCTTCGATTTTGATAAGCGCCATGAAATTTATGAGATCGCGTTAGGAAGTAGCTAGTAAAATACAACGTACTTTATTTTCACTGTAAACACAGGATCCGCACGTTGCACGTGTTCGTTACTTCTGCGAGTTGAAAACCCGCTGCGGAACACAAGTCCGCTCGATTAGACGAATTATTCGTGCTGCTTAAACGTGAAACTCGGTAAACTCGAGCTGACACAAACAGGCGTTTAGTCCGCGTCGACACACCGAATTCCAGACTTTACTAATTAACGGCATTATTAATCGGCATCTGTCGTGTGCTTAAGCGGAATACTTGCTCGCACGTCCCAGCGACCGGGCAGCTCCGCCAAGAGGACTATCGCGAAAATTCGCTACGCGCCTCGCGTACGCTTCCGCATGGCAAGATGTCAGCATTTTATATCTGTCATCTGGAACAGAGCGGACGGTCCGACGAATAGACCGAGCATCGTAAAATTACGCACCACCGACGCCGACACATCCGACCACCGCGTCGCTCATCGCAATTTCGATAATTGCGCGCGGGCGCTACTACTCTTGTTCGAAAATAAGCGCCGCGACATCACCGACACATTTCTCTCTCTCGTTTCTCCAACCAAACGACACTTTCTCTTCAATTTTCTATGCATCAATCTGGTAACGTCATTTCAAAATCAATGTTACTTCAATGAAATATGCTGTAATTAATTGTATTTAATAAATAATTATAATTATATACGTTCTGAGAAGTTAAAAGAATATATTATCGCTAATTATATTTAACAAATTATTATTACTATTTAAAATTTGGCGAGAAAATGAATTATATTAATTATATATGTGATATTTCCAACTGTCGCTCACAAAAAACATGTATCTACGCGAGTTAACTCGTAGTTGGCGCACGGAGCAGCGGAATTCTTCCCGCGCGCCAGCTATAAGATGCTATAACTCGCATTTGGCAGCCGATGTATTAATCGGTGAGGAACTTCTGCGAGCGACATGTCAGTGTGATTTAAACCCCCCTCGAGACACGGAAAACTACATCTTACTCCGCTCGTCACGCTCGCACTGTCACGAACAAACAGCAATCAGCCTCTGTGTACAGCGTCGAAGAACGGCCTCGGCCGAGACCGATCGCGCCGATTTCCCAATCGACTGTCGTCGATTATTGGCGACAATACGCGCCCCGACAATGCGATTCATAGCGACATAACGATCTCTCGTAAATCTCTCTCATCCACAAACACACACACACCCACGTATACAATAACACAAGCATACCTGCACACTTACACACCTGCACACTCAGACATTATACAACACAGCGTACATATCCGAGAACAGGAACGCGCGAGGGTGAACCGGATGGGGCGAGACGAGCGCAGCTCGACAATCGAAGCGGAAGACGGTGACTCGACCTATCGAACGAGCTGTACGGACGTCGGAATTGCCGCCTTAACGCGCGTTCGACACTTGCACAACACACTCGCGCGAAAATAGCACGACGAGCTAAGCTGACACGAGCGGGAGACGGTGAAGAAAGGGAGACCGAGGCGGCCAGAAGAGGAAACGCGATCAGGGAAGGAAGAAGGCGTTCGGGGGAGAAAGAAGAGAGGCACAGTGTGTATATGTGCACTGACCTCCCCGGTCCTCTCTCTCTCTCTTTCTCTCTCCCTTTCTTTCTCTCTTTCTCTATTTCCCCTTTTTTCTCTTTCTCCCTTTCCCTCGCCACCCTCGATCGCAGGTTTCAGCGCGTAAAAGGAAACGATCGGCTTACGTGCGCGAGATGATCGCTCTCTCTCTCTCTCTTTTTCTCTCTCTCTGTCTCTCCGGCTGCCGAGAACGAGAGCGTGACGATCCTCTTCGCCGACTTGCGAACGTCGTCGTCGTCGTTGTCGTCGTCGGTCGGTCGCTCGCCACTTCGGCCACCTAGGAATCCCCGAATAAATCGCCCGAGCCAGTGAGGAAGCCAGCCGACGGCTATCTCGAGACTGCTACCAATGCCAGCGGCAAGGCGTCCCGATGCCCGAGCGCCGCTTCTTCTTCTCTTCTCTGCCTCCTCTGCTCGAGGGGGCTTCCTCTGCTCTGCCTCGCGGTCGCCGTCCTCGACGACGTCCTCGACATCGTCGTCGGCACCGCGCCGAAAGTCGCCCGCGCGATCATTTATTATTCTCACTTACCTCGACGCCGTGACGCCGCAGTATCCTCTCGATGTCCCCTCTAGGTGATATCGATGTCCTCTTCAGCTTCGAAGCGAGAATCGTTCGGATCTTCGCAGGCCTCCTTCTGTTCGCGCCGCTTGCACCCGGGCAAAACGAGCGTCTGTCAAACATACACGCACGTCAAAATGTTTACATTTCAAGATATTGTGTTTTGTCGTGTTCCGGTCGAGCGCCCCACACAGTATTTGTCACAATTATTTTCATTCATTCAGCATGGGGTACAGCCGAGGAGATAGTGTCGTATATAGAGCAAAAAATTTTATGTAAATAAAAATCCGCCGAAATTCTTATGTTACTTTAACATGCGGGAAAGGGGTAGTGATAAAGTAACACAAATATACGTTAAATTAACATGGTTACCTTACTAATATATTCATTTTGTTAAAGCAACGCAAAAATTTCAGTGGAAATTTTAGTTATCAACATAAATCTGTGTAACCATTTTTTACTGTGTAAATATAAAAAATTGATGCACTTGTTGGTGTCTATCATAGACCACATTCAAGTAAGATCCTCCAACTCACTCTTTAATATATTTTATAATTGTTCATTTTATAATTAATTATATAATTACTTATAATTGTGCAATAATTGATGAAAATTAAAAATTATTGAATAATTGATGAAAATGAGGAGAAAAACAGTTTCACTTTCTTTCGAGCGAGTTTACTTCTCAATTCGCCTAAAGCGCGAACGTGGCGCTTAAAGAGTTAAGATAAATCACATTCCCGGCCTTTCAGTTGGCTTTCAGATTTAATTTGATCCCTCTTCCGCACCTTGTCCGTTCTTTACGAAGCAAAGAACTTCGCGAAAAAACTCGCTAGCCAAGTGCCGTGAAACACCCAATGAATCCCGCGACGGACCTGTTGTCTTCACATTTCGCGCATTCGCGTGAATCGGAGCGCGGATCATTGCGGAAGCGTTGTTACACGGGATGTAGGTGCTGATTCGTCGCGCGACGGTCGATCGTTTCGGCCGCTTCTAATAATAATCGATGCCTGCTACGCCTGTCCAGGGATTTCTCTGCGGATCCAAATCGATACCGTGCGGAGCAGGCCGCGTTCTGTCGGCTACAATCCCTCCGCTACTGATCAGCTGTGACGTCTCGTTACGCGCCGACACCTAGATCGTCGGCGGCGCCGATGGGATCTATTTGCGTATCGAGTCCGATACAATGTAGAAACGGCTTAATATCACGTAAAAGCTCGAGATCGTCCAGACGGCGAGTGCCAGACTTCGCCGGAATCGTGACCCGACGTTTGATTCGAATCCGTGCCGCGAAGATGTCGGAAACTACGACGTGCTTTGGAATGAATCGGTGCGTTAATTGGTTCATTGTATCCAATAAACGTCGTAGATTCGTAGAATACTCGAAATTGAAATTTCGAGGGATACTGTCGAATCGTCGCGTTCGGTGGGTAACAAAATTCACTTCGTGATAAAGGCAAGGCATAAAATCAAATTGGGATAAAATAAAAGTAGATGCTATCATTATATCCGATGAATTTTAAAACTCGTAGCATCCTTTAGTTAAAATTGTCAAAGATATCGCCAAACTGTCGAAATCGCATTGGAAACGAATTAAAAAAAGAACAAAAGAGGAAATTAAATTCACGATTTTGTCCATTTTGTTGTGCACGTACGAACATCTTCAAACGTAACGAGAGGTCTGTTCGTTTTCGCTACACGGCTAAATTAGTGCAATAAGTTGAAGCGAGACAAGTATATGTTTACTCACTTCAACTTATTGCACTAGTTCGGCGGTGCAGCGAAAACGAACAGACCTGAAGTGATCCGCAACAAAACGAGATCGGCGAGAAGAAAACATCGTTTGCATCTCGATTATATATCTGCCTCAGACTTCTCGCCACCGGAGCCCTCGATGTGGTTACAGAGTACGGTGTGGAATACAGTCAGGATCGCGCAATCTCTCTTGCCCCCGTCGATGAAGCGCCAACACGCGCGGCTCGGAGCGCTTATTACGATCGAGACGTAAACCCGAGATTCATCCCGAGGGCGGTCGAGAAGTGAGAGGGATCTTCTCGTGACGAGCGGCGGATGCTGTTAATGATACCGAGGAGCACAGGCAGAGGCTACAGGTACTCTTGGCACCGTGCAATCCTTGGCAAGTGTTTATCGTCCACGGAGAGAATATATTATGGCCTTTCTTTTTTTCATGCAAATCCTTTCCAACTTTACCATGTCTTCCTAGAAGTGCAGAAATAGATCTGTCATGTACAGCTTATCTTGCTAAGAAGCAACGTCAATTTTTCAAAATAGTCTACTTCAGTTTCGAAAAATTACATCCGACAAATTTTATCCGACAAATATTCGTAAAATAAAAATAATTCGTATGAAACGGAAAGATAATTAGGTAAATAATAATAATCACTTATTAACGAAGGAAAAGATCCTTCACAGTCGCATATATAAAATGAATTAGAAAAATGAAGGTAAAACAAAAAATTAAAGCGGAATATCGATATGTTCTGCGGCTACAAAGTTCGATGGTAGTTTTTATTATAAGATTCTCTCCGTGTAATTAATGTTGTAGGAGAATACGGTATACACACGCGAAACTCTTTCCCTCCGCTGAAACAGGCTCGTCATAATTATACCGTTACTAGTGAGGGTGATTTTCGATGACGCGCGCGCCGAGCAATCAGTTGTCCCGCCTGCGAGGGATCCTTTCGGCATGCGGAAGAATAACGTTCGCGAAAAGGATAGGATAACCCGTATCGATGGGGTGATCGCGAAGAGAACGAGTTCATCGAACGATACCGAAAATCCGAAAGCCGGGCCCGATGAATCCGAGCGGAGGCGAACTCAGCTCTTGGCGCGGAAATTGGCGAACGAGGCTCTCAGGTCGCCACAGCTGCAGCGCAATATGAAGAAGCTGGTAGATCTGAGCAAGCCTCGTCGTCGTAATCACTCGGTCACGATGAAGAGCTCATCGGGTCAGACGGGAAGCGCGTTCAAGTTACCGCGAGTAAGCTCGAGAAAGCCGAGCAAATCACCGAAACGAGAAGGAACGCGGAGAAGAATGAGGAGTAAACGCAGACGCGGACTGAAACGACACAAGGAGCGTCATCCTTGGCTGCGTAAGAGGAAACGCGTTAAGGTAGGTAAGATTCATTCGTCTGTTCAGGATGTATTCCTCCGCTGTTACAGATCTATGAGATAATTGTTAGCGCGATAGAAGTAAACATCGTTTGGCCAAGCTCTAGACAAATTTAAAAAACTTTAAGAAGAACGTAGGAATATATAATAGTTGAAAAAAATCTACGAATTATCACGAATCATAATTTAATTAAGGCTCCTTGTCACACAGCCATCTTAAAAAAATGTTATCAAGTCCAAAGAAATCTTTTTCTCTGTGCAGGGAACGAGACAAGGGGAAACCGACGAGACGGGCATCGAAAGGATCACCCGACAGATCTCGAACGGTTCCGTCCTGAGCAACGATATATTTGCCAATCGCTCACTCACGCAGCAATTCGCGAACGGAAGCTACCACGATCAAGATCTAACCGACGATCAAGATCCAATCGAATCTTTGAGACCCTGGGAGGGCGATCGCCCTGCGATCGCTCAAACAGACGACGACAACGGGATCGGTTACGCGCCTACGTACTTGCCAATCCTCACCGATCAGAAGGTCAAGCCTGGAAGTCTGTATTACATCCCCAACGTCCCTCAGGAAGACCCAGAATTCGGTCAACTTCAGGAGACCATCGACCAGCCCGGGAGGAACGCGCCTGTCGACGGGGCAGAATCTTCTAGCGAGAATCCGATGGATTCCTACGCAGACCCGCAGATTCTCACCACTGACGAGAACAGCGTCTTCGACCCGCGACTCGAGGCCGACCGGGTTCTCGGCGAAGCGCCACGTTATCAGAATCCTTCGAGCCCTGTACATCGCTTGTACGTGAGCGAAAAGCCTGAGGTGGTTAAGCCGGAAGAGATGGAGGTGCTCTACCCGGTCGAATCTTACGTTCAAGTACAGACCGGGTCGTCGACGAGTGCACCGCATTTTTTTCGCAAAGTCCCCGGCACTTTGAACGTGTACGTCGCTAATGGGAAGAATGGTGGACGCGTAATCGCGCCAGTGTCCGAATATGTTTACCCTGTTGCGCCCTTATTGAGGCTACCCATGCGCAAGGTCAACGAACACGTCTCTCAATCGATCCTCAATTCGCCGGTTGAACATATTCTGCTTGCCGACCGAGAGCAGACGATGGTTGGGAGAAATAATGAAAAGGAGACTGCTCGAAATTCTCGTGAACGATACAGGAGTAAAGCAAACGAAGGGACCGCGAATAGCAAGGTGACGCACGAGGATCGCTCCTCGTCCGTGATCGGGGCGACGAAAGGCGCGGAAAGCCAACGCGCAAATGTCTCCGCGATGTTGAACGAAACGAAGGAAGTCGCCAATCAGATACTCGAAAAGATCGTAGACGAGTTGGAGGAGATTAGATCGGATCGGCCGGAAAACGAGCAAATAGAAGGTTATTATTTAGAATTTCTAAACTTATATATAAAGCTTCCTCTTTAATGTATATGTATGTGTGTGTATAAAGAGAACTCTATAACATATATTAAAATTTCGGAACTTGTTTTGAGGCTCAATTAAGAAAATATTTCTTCTTAGATATTAAAGGTAAAATTAAAAAATATATATATTCTCTTTCTCTTTTCTCTTATATATATATATATAGAGAGAGAGAGAAAGAGAGAAAGAGAGAGAGGGAGATGTAAAAAAAATATCAGGGAAATAATTTTTGATACATATATCTATAGATATAAACACACTTCTATATTAACACTTTGAAGCCTAGGCCTTAAAGATGATTTATTAATGGGATCCTGGACAATTTTGATGTCTATTAAAAAATGTTCATTGTTGATGTATGTTGTTGTAACTTAGCAACCAATCAATTTTAAGTGTAAAAAAAGCACTTTAAAAGCAGCGGAAATGTATGAAATGGCAGTTGTCGTCTGCGCGCTACCCCGACCTATACTCGGGCTTAGAACAAAGAGTGTTAACAAAATATCGCCGTATTGATTGATGGATATATTTCTCTTCGGGACAGGCTTACCTTGCAAGATATCAGGATCGTGGGTGACGACGCAGGGCGGAGTGCGGATTGACATGCAGGTGACGAATCACACCATCAACGCGACGCTGGCGAAGCTGTCACCGCCTCCTGTGCATCAGGGTTTGCTGGACCCGGCCTGGAATCTGACTGGATACGCACCCTTCGCACCGGGTGCGCCGTTTTCCTTGGTCGCCGTCGACAACCGCACGAAGTCATTAGCGGTGTTCGCAGGTGCGGACGCCTGGCCGAGTAATATTTAGCGCGTCCTCCTCGGCGAGTATCTAATCGCGAGGAAACTCTAACAGGAACTTCTTAAAAAAAAAAAAAAAGTTCTACAACGATTATACGCAGGTGCGTGCCGAGTGTGCCAAGGTATCGACACGATAGCGGGCGTTTGGTCGATCGCCCACAGCCCGCAAGATTGCCGAGACTTTCAGATAGCCACGGGCATCTACAACGACGTGTTTCGCCGGACCAAATTGTCGTCGGCGATAAACGTCAAGCACCGGGAGATCGTGCGATTGTTGCGCGATCGGAACAACACGACAACGGCCGCGACGACCTTGACGAGCAGTACGCAAAAAAATAATACGTTACCGCAAAACAAGGAAAAGGGAAAGACTTGAGTGTCTCGAGGCGAACTTGAGGAATCGGTAGACGGATGATGATGATGATGATGATGAGGATGATGATGTTGATAGACAGACGGATCGGAAAATTTACGAATGGACGCATTGTGCTAGAAACAAAAAGAAGTATCTTATATTGTTACCAGTAAGATTTGGTATGTATGTGTAAACTTTAGAAAGAGCGCAAGCCACGTGTGAACTTTAATTAATTATCTTACGTCGAGATGTAATTTATTGGATCGAAAGGTGTACACACTGTGTAGACAATTTCAAATAAATCTTCACCTGCCTGTCTAAGAGATTTTTCAAGTTTTCGACTTTTTCCGTTTATTGCAGAACATAGAGACGCCGCGGCTCGTGTAAAATCTCACGCGTACGTCACTTTGACGCGATCTACCTTAAGTTATTCGTCTGTATGTCCACCAAACACTGCTTGATAGCGTTGAAACCCAACACGATAATCTGCACCAAGCTCGCATCAGTAATTCGATATCTATTGTCTCATTCAAAATAACTCAATTATATTTTTATTATACCTTCAGAATACCGATTTCTTTGTACCGTTTATCCATAATCGGTAGCGATATATCTCTGCAGCCGTCGCCGAGCGCGTATTCTTTTATGTTAAATCTCGCCAAACTGGAAGAAATAATCCGTGATGAAAAATTCATGTGATGATACGTCCAAATTTAAGAAGTTCTTCCATTTACCCGATATCCACACATTCTTTATCCGTCTGCTCGGGCAATGGTTCGCTGACAACAACAAATTTAACGTTCGGACTTTTACATTCAGTCAACATGGCGCGTAAAGTGTCTCTTTCAACGATGTGCTTTTTCTCATCTATCCGGAATTCTGAGATCGAAATTGATTGGTTTCGTGCAATTTTTTTCAAGCGCATCAATATATTTCTAAGTATATAATACCGCGTATACATTCGTGTCTCTTGCGTGTAAATTACTTTTTCGAAAATTGAAGAACATCTCTTGATCAGCTACTCGCGGCTTTTCCACGGACACGGACTCCATATCCTCGCCGTAATGCCCGAGAAAGGAATATTCTACGAAAATCAAATGTATCTCGTCGTTCCCTACGACGGAATCGTCAAAGAACAGCACGCTCACTATTTCTATGATTATCGTATCTTTCTCAAGTTTCTGGAAAGGATGAACGTTAGATTACAGTCACGTTAAATCGTCATACGCGCGAAATATCGCGTACACGTGGAAATTTAGAGATTTACTTTAAGAGATTTATTAAAAGAGGAACTAAAAGAAAGGAAAAATAGTAAAATATAATATCATAAAAAGTCAAGCGCATAATCAGAAATCTTTCATTCCCAGTACCTTCAAATCGCGATTTTGAGATTTAAACTTGATATTTTTGTAGGAAATTCTTTAATTTTCAATATGAATAGTCCAACACAACGATAGTATATCTAATAACGTTTGCGTCTTCCTGCATAGAGGCACGATATTTTTACAAAAAATTTCTGCTCGAGTAAATTCTTCATGCGCAAGTAAAAAAAATAATTAAAAAATAATCTAATTAAAAACGTCGGACTGAGAATTCTGCACGTCCACGTTTAAAGATCTAACTAAAGCGAGTTGATATCTTTGGGGGCGAATAGTTGAGTTACTTTCGTACGACTCTCACACTCTGCGTCTCGTCGGCGTGTGCGAGTGTGCCGAAGTAATTAATTATTAATTGGCAAAGGTCAGCAGAGTCTTCTGCATATATCTCCCCCAATCTTTGTCCGAGAGCACCTCGTGTATGTCGCGGATCGTGCTGTTTGATTCCTTGAGCAGGCTCCCGGTCTGAACACGTTCCGGAATCTCGATCATTTCCAGGTAGATATCGCACTCGCGTGATCATTAACGCATCGTGCGTTTTTCGCGTAGTTGCTCAATTGCTAAACGCGGGCTTACGTTCGTGATGATACTCTTGAACTGCGTTATGCTCGATGACTCCGCCGGCTCCGTACGCTCCTTCAGCATCTTCGTTCTATCATCTGTCGCTTCTTCGAGATTTGGTCTAGTTAAAATCGTTCGTACAATCTTTATGGCGACATAAAGAAGACCGTAATGCTGTTAAATGCAACCACTTTCTCTCTCTAATTATATCGACACGTTTCGCAAACATTACAGATTGCGAAGTCGAATCTTTCAGACAAAATAGGAACAGAGGAAAAAACGCAACGCAAATAGAAAGAACCTAGTAAATGAAGAACATTGGATCAACATCTTGAAGTGTTGACTTTATGCGTATCGTGTAAGCGTTATCGCCTGATATTCTAAAAATATTTCCGAAAACACTATCAGATAATATGATCCTCTCGAAGATTATTTTAGAAATATCGAAGTGCTGAAGTTATTCGTAACAATGTTCATGCAATGTTAAAAGCTGTGTATATTACAAAATGTTACAAGCTATTAAATATCATTGCAACAACGTTCTGTCAATGATGTTTTGCTCACTGAGAGGTCTTACCTTTCCCTTTTCGCGTATTTCCCGTTCTCCTCCTCGAATATGTCGTTCGACTCGTTAACAGGCGTAGACGAGGATTCTTCGTTATTGGAAGTGACATAGTTGTTCTCGTCGTCCGAATTTGTTTCATACAAAGAATCTGCAGATGATCGGGTTTTGTGTATATTTTTCGAGACTTTTAAAGCCGGAAAATATACTTCTATCGACATTTTAAGGCTCCTATTCCCTTGCCGTAGTCAACTTGATTAATGACGTCAGAAGCGAGGAAAAATATGCCTAAATTTTATTTCTTGCGGAATACATTGAATTAGCAACATATTTCGCAAGAATTTTCGACATACTTTTCTTGCTTTTGACGTCATCAAACAAGACAACCGCAGCGAGGAACCTTCCCCGTGAACACCAACTAAAGGTAACATAATATCAATGTTATAATTTCTCACTCAACAATGTAACCGTTACATGACACACATTGCATTTACATTAATAAATGAGAAATTATAACATTGATGTTATGTTAATATTAGTTGGTGTTCACTAAGTTAAGGCCCGATAGAAATACAAATTCTGATTTTTGCCAAAATTTACTTGATTTTATTAGCGGTGGGAGGTGTTGGTCGTCCGTTGAAACTACGGACGCAACATCGTCATCTTTTTGATCCTCGAGCGTATCTGCTTGTGCCGGAGACGGTGTGTGAGGAGTATCCTGCGGCGCGATATCTCGCAACGAAGCTACGTCGTGTCGCTCTTTAAAAACTTCGACCATCTCGGCGTCACAATTCAACCGAATCCAGAGCGACAGCTGGCCGAAATTGTCGCCGTAGGTGCGAGAAAGGATGCTGCTGACGGGCACGATGTAAGGCAGCTTGTTCTGCGGGTAATCTAGGATATCCTTGATGGAGACTCTCGCTCTGGCGATTGTATATCCCGTGTCGTCGCGACGAACGACGTTCACCCGGAAGACCAGATACTCCAACAGCACGTTGTTGAAGAAGGAGAAGAGATCCTCGATGCGGTAGACGGAGGAGAAGTTGAAGTTGAGATTCGGACACCTCATCGCCACCGTGTGCGCCGTTTTCTCGTCCCAGATGTCCCAGCTCACGTAAACGTAGAGATTACGCAGGTCGTCCTCACCTGAGATCTTCGAGGCCTGATAATCTCGAACGAGTACGACAGAAAATCATTGTTGTGCTCGCGGTTAAATGAAACTGGATAATTGGTAAAAACGAGAAATAATAATACAAAACATTACACGTAAAAGTCACTGCTAAATCGTTTCGCTTGAATCGCGGTACTGACCGACGTCGAAAGCTGCAGCCGTGACACGTGAATCTCGATGAGGCCTTGCCTATCGGTGATTAACAGGGGGAAGGGCTTCGCCGAGTCAACCGGCAGTTGCACATCGTTGCCCAGACATTTGCTCTTGCAGACTGTCCGCTTGTTCCTATTCGGCAAGTCTTTCTTTCTTTTCCGCAAATGGCACATCAGATCACATCTAGGCGATAACGAGGCCTTCACTTTCGCCGCCTGATAAACAAAAGCCGCCGATGTTATCGCGCTGAGCGCTAAGCGTCCCACCTGTCAATCGCTGATCAGGACAGGTTGCACTTGCTTACGCAGCCGTCGTTATCGATATTGCGGTACGGTAACGGTTTCTTCGACTTCCCGTGAATCGCAGGGCAGCAAATAGCCTTGTCCTGTGTTTCCTTTGTGGACAAACCGGCGTTTTTCGTTGAGACAGATCCTTCCGGGAACCGACTCGGGCCAAAATCGGATCTCAAACTCGCGAGATCGTTTCTGACGTTGTCGCATTTACCGCTTGTCTTCTCGCTTTCGCCGATACGTTCGTCGGTGTCTGTGAGCTCCCTACCGTCGCAAGCTGCCGTTTGATGATATTTGCAGGAACAGGTCCTTTTGTCCGCGCTAAGATCGTGATTGTCGCTCTTCGTAGCGAGATTGTTGTTGACGTCGATCACCGTCGTATCTTCGATTGTGAAACCTTGGCATCTCGGAGATGCTTTGTCATCAACGTTATCAAACGACTCTTGCAGATATTCGTGCAAAACGTTCAGTAGCATCAGAAGGATCTGATTCGACGTCACGTTCTCCAAGGCCACGAGTCTTCCCCTCCGTGAACTCCTCTGCGTGGTATTTGGCTCGTCGCGGAGTGTCTGACAAGATACTCCTCCGTCGCTGTAATAGACAGTCATGATGATATCGTACGTCATGACTTTCTGCTCCGTATATAATCCTAATTATAACTGTAGTATACATTGTAAAACAAATCTGTTATAAAATCGCATATATTTATTTAAATAAATATATAAAGTGTCCTACTGAGATACGAAGAAACGTATCGGTAATGTTCCTGACAATTTGATATGAATTAAATCAGGAACATCATGTCATTATTCATAATTATTCCTATGAACACATAAGGTTTCCAAAATAATACAGAAATTATAGTACCAGGAAATGCATATAACATGTATATACACACGCTCATTTGCATATTGACACATTGTACAAAACTTAACCAATGTTTCAGCTATGCATTCGTATCGTCTCTGCGCACATGCATGCTTGAATTTACAAAATATATATTTACTATTCGACGTTTACATTGCTCGCCACACACATCAGAAATTCTTATCCTACAATTTCATAATTTTACCTAAAAATTAGAACGTAATTGTACGTCCCTACAATTCAAATGTTGTTCTCATCACTGTTTCATGATAACCCGACTTGTGAAACATTCGATCTCCTCCAAGCCAACCTTGCGGTCTCTTGGATACTGCATATTGAAACCTATGAAATTCTGTCTCCTTCATAAAAAGAAAAAATAACCGAAAGCCGACAATTCGAGGCAGATTATACGTCAACAATTAGAATCGCCGAACAATAGCTTCTCAAGAGGTACAACTTGCCTGTGCCTCTGAGCCTGCGCTACATCCAAAACGTCCGTGTACTCTTCCCTCTTCTGGCTGATTTTCGACGCATCCAACGGCGTGTTAATCTGCGCCTGATCTAACAGCTTCAATATTTTCTCCCGCGACAAACTGTTCGTCTCGTGATTCGCTATACCCTCTTTCAATGGCGACTGCGGCAGCCGCGAATGTGTCTCTTCCTCGGCTTCCACGATCGTCATTACGCTCTGTTCCCTCATGTTGACGGGCGTGGTTATCGTCTGTACCGATTTCACCGACGACTGCCAACTTCTTCGTGCGCTGTCCACGGCTTTCTCCAACTGCGTGATTTTGTCGTACATCTCGCAACACTTCTTGCATTGTTCTACGGAAGTGGAACAGGCCTGTTTAGACGTAACGGTTTCTTTCTCGCTTGCTACGTACGCAGGCGCGCTCGACGGTGACGCCATCGCAGCGTCGCGCTTCTCATTTTGCTTTTGTACAGACTGAAAACAATTGTAAAATTGAGAATCGCTTCCAAATGTTGTGTTGTCGTTCAAATCCTTTTATTTTCCCCCACACGGATATACTAACCGTTAATTGTACCGTCAAGATGTCTATGGTAGCTTGCAAGTCCTGAAGTTTCGCGAGCAACTGCTCATTGGTGACCTGCAACGCCACGATATTGGCCTGGTCGTTGTTGAACGCTGTTCTCAGAGTCCGCTGTTCATGAACGTGCTCGGAAAGCTTCTTCTTCAGCTCGATATTCTCCATTTCGAGCTGACCGTACTTTGAGCTGAGGGCGACAAGCTCGTTATTGTGTTGCTGTAATATCTTCATTTCGCTCGTGAGATCTCGTATCTGCTCCTCCTTCTCGCGCAACGCGAGCTGCGAATTCTTCGCTTTCAACATCTGTCCGTCCATCTCGGCTATGCGCGTCCGCTCCGACGTGAGAACGGCGGCGATCTCCTGATTGTTCCTAATTTAGCGACAGCAACTTCCCGGTTAGGAACGACCGTCCTCCATATATTTTTTTGTTACAACGTCTAAATCTTGAATATATACAGTGAGGCAATGATTGCCACTTTGAATATCTTCGAAATTTTAAGAATAAGAGAAAAAAGAGAAAAGATGGTGTTATCGATAAATGAATATTTTATGAAATATTTCATATGTTTTATAGTGAAAATATCAGAACGACAAGTAAAATATCTCGAAAGATATTTATCCTTCGATGATCTTATCTTAGTACTTTTATACGCAGAATGAACACAGGAATTTATTTATGTTAAAAAGCTATATGATTCTATTAACCCCTTGACATACAAATTAAATGGAACTTAATGCGACCAAAAAATACTATTTAATTTCGCTCAACTGAACAGTTACGTGAAAGCTGAGGAAGAGTACATTTTATTACTATGTAATCTAATTGTAAACTGCACGGCGTCCGCCGAAAAAAGCGCTTGACGAGTCAGACTCGTCATTGTATGTCAAGGGGTTAAAAAAAAAACGAAAAATTTTTCTCTTATTTTCATAGTTTCGAAAATAATCAAGGTGATAATAGTTATTGCCTTACTCTGTATATTTTACGTGTCTTGATCAAGAAGCGCATACATAATATATCACAACTGGAAGGAGGGGGATGTGACTTTCGCCCGGTATAATAAACAGTTTGTCAGATCTATTAATATGTCATAGGCTCTAGACGGGATAATGGATTATATACTTCGTCGTTTGTTCGATGGTCGTCTTCAAGTCGTTCATCTCGGCGTTCAGCGCGGCGTTCTTGTCCTGAGCCGTTATTAGCTTCTCATTCAGCTGCTTCATCTGTCGCCACACTCGTATGTACTCGACGTTGTCCGCCACCTTCTCCCTTTGACTGCTGGTCGCGTAGAGAGCCAGCTCCTTCTCCAAGTCTGTTATACGATCCGCCATTTCTTTCTTCTGCACCTCCAGTTTCTGCGAACAAAGGTTGGACGCTAAGCGGAAATTATTGCTCGCAACATTAATAACGGGCGTGTCCGCGCGCAACTACAAGCATTCGAGTAAAAGCGATAGCGCAAATCGCGAGTTCGTTCGACGACGTTCTTGGCCTTTTTGCTATTTCAAGCTGTCTCTATTATTTCTACAAACTCGTACGATTCTCAACGAAGGATAACATTGATCGTTAAACTAAATGGATTAATACGCGAAATTGAGTGTGCGTAAACATCTCTCGAGCATCTCGAAGGGGCACCGTCTTACCTCGATTTTAACGAGGTAATTCTGTACATCGCTGTCATCGTGTCCCGCGTCAACGATGCACTGACAGGACGGTACTCTTGAGCGGTTGTTCTCACTTCGGCACGTCCTAAAAGAAGCCGGTTTCATCCAACACCGCAACGTAATGAGTCACGGTGTGAGTCGGTATGTTTATGTATGTGTGTGTGTGTGTGTATATATATATATATATATATATAGTATATGTGCACTTACACGAGCCCGGAAGACGTTGGCCTGACGAGATTACGACTGTGCGACGACGATCTACCTTTCATTGTATGACTTAACAATTGATTCTTCATCACGGTGATCTTCTCTTTCAGCTGAAACCAAGCAGTTTTTTTCCTTTCAATAATTTATCTAGGCCAGAAGAAATCATCAACTTAACAGCACAAATATGTAAGGGTCCACAGCTATCTGTCCGCATTAAGTTCGTGTTCTGTTGACAGAGTCTGCTGGCATAGTTTGACAGCGGATTAGCAACAGAAACCAAACAGGATTTCCGATATGTTCTACTTAAATTTGATTTAAACGAAACGACAGATGCTGCTCAGTTTCTGCCGTCAATCTGTCATCAGACTTTATTAACAGACCCCGTTGTATTTTTGCCGATTAAACTTTACAGCACAGACACCGCGCGAAATCTGTTTCTGCAGGTTGCCTATCTGGGATGTTATCGTTAATTTTTTACACATGAGTTTCACCACGAACACCACTAAGAAAATTTAACGTAGATCTTCGACCGTCCGACAAAATCCCGTTATCGTCGAGAAAAAAGATGCCGTTATTTCGAGGTGGTCTACCTTAGCGTTCTCGAGCTCAAGCGCGGACATTCTGTTCTTATCGTCGCTGGCGATATCTAACGATACTCCACATGATCTTGGATTACCGGCCAATCTGATCAACTTCGTACCGAGCCTCTTAATCTTGTCCTCCTGGCAGTTGCTCAACTTCTTCAGATTGCTCGCCTCGTCGAGCAAGCGCAGATACTTATCCTCCAGCTGGTAGCGATCGAGTTTGCAAATGAGATGGCGTTCCCTAGGATCTTTTGTGTTTCAAAATCATTATTCACGTGTGCAACCCAGATAAAAACACAAATGTCTAAAATATCTTTTAAAGCCAAATCATACTAGCAATTGCCGATTGGATTGCAACTGACGATTACTTCTCAAGCAATAAGAGCAGCCACCGATTGAGGTCAGTGACTATCATTTAGAAAATGCTATACCTTATAATCGTCAATTGCAATCCAATCGGCAATTGTGCGATTTGACCTTTAGGTCCAATTGCATCAAACTTTACTTAAGCTAAACAACAATTAACTTACAGATTCACAACTGAAATGTCGGTTACAAAAGAAATTGAGAAAGAGAAGAAATTAGAAATTTCAGTTGCAACTTTGTAGGTTAATCATTGCTTAGTTTAATTGGTGTTTGGTGCAATTTTAGAAATATTTAAAAGATGTCTAAAACAAGTAGGATATCTTTTAGACATTTATGCTGTCTGAATAATATTATTCATCAGTTTGGATACATTCCCACAAATGGAATTTTATCAAGATACAAACCTATAGCACTTATCAGCGTGTCCGTACAAGAGCCTTCCTTTAGTAAAATATCCGGATCGTCTGCCATTTTTGATTAGAATTCCGACTCCGGTTTCCGTTCGAACCAGCGAGTGTCGTGAAACGTCGCTTAACGCACGGACGCTGAAAATCCGACACACATGGTGGACTTTTAGCATTTTACCTCGCTGCTCTGTCGCGAAATACGTGAATAAACGGGCCGTTATATAGACGAGGTGGGGTTACAATTTTGGCGATAAAAAGAAACAGTACGAGAGAAAAGTGCATCCATTGCCCTATGTGGTTTTTGTAAACGTTTACGATGCGTCTCTTATTTCTTATTCTTACCAAACACGATATCTGCTTTACTGAACGTCACATTATGCGTCTATTTACAAGAATTAGTTACTCACTACACAAGAATATTAAACATATTTCAATTCTAATCCTATACCGGACCTGCTCGCGAATGAGGGAATTCGAGAGATCGGATCTGCTCGATTCTGCGCCGCCTTCAGATCACAGATCGTCGCTCATTGACGACTCGTCATAAGTGATAAGGTTAAAAATAAGTTTACGTCGCGCTAGAAATGCTCGATCGTCCGTAAGAGTCACGATCACATCTGTGTGTGACGACATCTGACGCGTTGCAATTAAGCTCAAAAGCAAAAATGCGGACGGAAAACTTGACACGTTTCCCGCGAAAAAATTTCAAAACGAATCTACCGGGTGGCGCGCTTCCAAGTAGTATACAATTCGCAGTAATTCCGAGTATCAACGGAAATCGCGGTGATAATTGAGTCCAACGGTTGTTATTATCAACACGTTACAAATTGAAACGCGAAAAAATATGATACGAACGCGATACGATATGACGAACGAATATGATGCGAAAATTGTACAATGTCAGGATATGAAAGAACGACAATATTTATCGGCGGTTATCGCTGCAGATTCGAGATAAGCGCGCGATATCTGTCGGTTTCTGCCACACATTCGCTTATGTCTATGAGAACGGGAACAAACGACGTGATTCACTCTCCCTATGAATCATCCCCGTGTGCAACTCTCGGAGGATCGGAGATCCTGACGACATAAACGGAGAAGAGTAGCGCGATTTCGCCCAATCGAATCGGCCGGCAATATCGACACCGCGGTCGACACTGTTATCGCGCCTTTGCTGCGAGAGTATCGTTCTCACGATACGAGTTAGAAATGATTATCGTTACTCGATATTATTCGATATTTCTCTTGTATTCGATCATATCGAAATACCGAATAAAATATTACGTGAATAGAATATCGAATACATATATTTCTTAACTGTTCATAAATTCACAAATTTGTTCACGCAAAGACCGCTATTTTACTCGTCGTTTACGACGAGTATCGTCGGATGTGCTGATTGACATTCTCTTTATGCTAGGATACCCAGTATATATTCACATTCATTCAATATGCCTAATTGAAAAAAAAAGTGACAAATATATTCATATTCGATATTTTTGCGCGATATCGACATACCTAATACGAGTGACACAACGGTGACTCGAACGTTCGAGGAAAGTGGCGCGGCCGTGCGAAAGAGTCGAGTGCGACGGGTGGAAACTGTTGCGGTGCTCGCGAGGGGCGAAGAATACCCGGCAGAGAGAAAAAGAGAGAGAACAAACGTGCGAGAGAGTAGCGCGCACGCCGTAGCAGGTCAATCGGGTCGCGTCGCGTCACCGGGTATACGGAGCGCGAGCGGCACCACGAGACGAGCGACGGAGAGATCCCAGCACAACCTGAGCCGTGACCACCGCTCACGTATACCCTCGCTTTTGACATCGGCGGTGGCGGCGGTGGCGGCGGCGGCGGAGTGTGCGTGCCAGTGGGAAAGGTAAGATGGCGGCGGACGGAGATGCGGTGATTCCGGACCAGGAAAAAGTGCGAATAGTCTCGGATTTTATACTGCACTCGCCGCCGGGCGAGTTCAACGAGGTGTTCAACGACGTGAGGGTCCTTCTGAACAACGACAACCTGTTGAAGGAGGGCGCGTCCGGTGCGTTCGCACAGTACAACAAGGATCAGCTCACGCCTGTTAAGGTAGATCGGTCGTAGTCGTCGTCATCATCGCACGCGATGACACCGTCGTCACGCGCCGTGTTTTCTTCTCCCCCGGAGGGCGCGCGCGCGCGACTCTCCCCGGGACACGACGGCTCCTCGCCTCGAGCTTCGCTCGCTTTCTTCCAAACGTATATATCGATTGTGAGGTGTCCGCGAGGCGCGACCACGGTGACCTTACCGCATGTATTCGGTCCGTTTGCCTTCTCGTCGGGTCCCTCTCGTCGGATTCCTCCCTGGATAACTCCGAGATCTCCGAGAGATCGCCGTTCGACGACTGTCCCCTCTCCCTCCCCCCTCCCCCCCGTTCTCGCACGCGCCAGGTTAGAGAGATCCACCTCGCCAAGCTGCGCCGGGAACATCGCGCCAACGGCTGGTTTTCCAACGCGCCGGAAACTCGTCCTTCTCGATCTTTTTTTTTCTCTGCTTTCAACGAAGACAGGGATTACTTTGGGATCTCGTGTACTTGAAAACTAATACGAAAGCTGCTCGGTTAAGGTTAGATATATCGCTCTGCCTCCTGGGGACGAGTGCCTTCCCTGCGAGTACTTTGTTTGCACGGTGTCAAAAGTGCTGTAACCGGTGATCCGCCCAAGTTCTCTTTATGTTAGTCATATGTATGAAATTTACACACCCCGGTATGTTAATTAACATGACAAATCTGTCACCTTCTTGTGTAGAGACGTTTCTAATTGTTCGGGAGATATCACAGCTACATGCTGTGTGAATGATGCAAAATTGTATCGAGAGACCGGTGTCTCGATTATTTGATTTCCGACGACACTAATTGGAAAATAGAGTATTCGAGAAATATTTGGCAACTTTTCTCACAAATTCCTTAAAGCTGTTTCACGATAGCGTAAAGTATTCAATAAGACGTGAGCTATCTGACCAACCATAGTCGATTATTCTTGGACTGTGAACATCCAACTGGTCAATTAGCTCGCTGCTTATACTATTGTAGAATGGCCTTTACAATTTCTACATTTCCAAATGTTCATAAACTGTATGAGATACTAACCTGCTCCCTTTCACAGATAGAGGCGAGCGAACACCCGGCACTCATAACGGAACACAATGATCTGGGTTCCCAGAGGTTTTACGATGGGCGGAGTAAGCAAAGTTTTAAATACGATCACTTGAGGAAGGAGGCGCAAGATTACGAGCCTTACGAACCAGATCCTGTAGCGGAACCCTGGAGGTCAGCCCTTCAAGAGGAAATAACGAATTACACTCAAAGTCACTACAGACACGGCGCCTGCTCGGTCTTCGGCAAATCGCTCGGAGGTATTTATATATTGCTCGGATCAATCGATAATTACACGTGAAGTCGATGAGCGGCGAATAACGTCAATTTTTCCATAGGTAACATAACGCTAACAGCGTGCATAGAGGATCATCAGTTTCAACCTAAGAACTTCTGGAACGGTCGCTGGCGCTCGGTATGGACCGTAAGTTTTACCCCGAATTCGGGAAACGCCGAATTAAGGGGTAGCCTCAAAGTACAAGTGCATTACTACGAGGACGGGAATGTACAGTTGGTCAGTAGCAAGGAGGTGAAGGAGAGCCTGCCGATCTCCAATGAGAAACAAACGGCGAAGGACCTGATACGGTTTGTCGAGGAGTCTGAGAATGATTATCAAACGGCGATCTCGGAAAACTATCAAACGATGTCCGACACCACCTTTAAGGCGCTGCGAAGGCAACTGCCAGTAATGCGAACAAAAATCGACTGGAACAAAATTGTTTCGTACAGTATTGGCAAAGAGCTTAAAAGTCAATAGAAATAGATTTTTTTATATAATAATATTAAAAGAAATATAATTAAAAGGAAAGCGCATTTTGCTGCATGAGTGAAGTCTGGAGGTGTGATGTGCATGGGAGCAAAATGTAACATTAATGAATAACGTCGGATTAGAGAAACTCGACTCATGCATGCCACTCAAGGTTCCTCTCGACTCCATATTGTATGTTGTTACAAGAAGCAATAAAAAAAAAGTAAAAGGAGGCCAACACTTTTTCGGCGTTGTCAATTGTATCAAAAAAAGTTTGTTGCTTTCGAATCCGGGTTATGGTTTCTCCGAAGTAATTTCTGCTTAAATTCTTTCGGTACGTGACAACAACGTTAATGAATAGCTCGAGAACAACAAAGCACACATACACACACACACACACACACACTATTGTCTCCATTCGAGCGTCCCGATTGTCAAAATTTATGGAAAGTACTCGACGATGGAACCTTCGTGTGAATCGCGTTGATTTTTCGCTTCGTTAGCTCGAACCATCTTTCTCGAAACGATATCCACGATATTCGCATTGTGCAGCATAGTGCAAGATATAATCTTTGACTTCGGATGGGCGTAAAAAACGATAAACGATAAGCTGTCGAAGTAAAAGATCTATTCACTATTTATAATGGGGTAATGGGGATCCTTGCTCTTATGTTAAGTGATTAAATTGAAGTTAAATTCAATGTGTTGAATAGCTTGAGATTGTGAGACACACACACATACACACAAATAGCGAAAGATAAATTCGAACTGTAATCATGTAGAGTTGTGAGAAGCAATGAGAGAGCAGATGGAGGCAGTTTACTCAGCTTCACGCAAAACTCGTCGAGATTCCTGTGAAACTTTATCATGAGGATAATGACGTCAGTGATAATCGACAATTGTTTACTTATGTTTTTACCTCTATAACGTATAATTCTTCTTTGCCGTTTCTACAAGGGATTCATCGCGAGAGACAAAACTAGCGCAGAATGGTGTCAGAGTCACTGAGGTTATTACGCAATTGATAATTTCATCGACTGAAACTACATCGATCTGCTCTGGCACAATTTATCCGTCACTTGATAGTTCACCCTGACTCGCAAACGAGAAATAATTTGAATCGTTAGGTAATTACGTTTGCGAATTCATCCTTCGATCGAGCTCACTCAAAGCATGTACGACTCGTATGCATTTCTATTTCACAAGTGCGATTGTGAAAGAAAAAAACGAGAGTCTGTAACGCAAAATATTATACAATACGAAAGAAAGTTTTCTTACGCCGATGCGCCGATGCGATAATAAAATAGCGAAATTAAGAGTTTACGACAGGTGTAAGAGAAAAAAACAGGACCCCTTTAGACTAACTCGTTTTGAAGGAAAAGAGAAATCTCCCGTAACGATTAAGCCTTTGGAGCAGTCAAAGCGGCGCGTGCGACCACATGTAGCGCATTCTAAAAATTCGAATGACGATATATATTCCGATCATCGTTGCGTTACTTGTCGATACAACATGCTGGGGCCACGGGTGATGTCAAACGCATAATATATCAAACGTAATACAAAAGACATTAGACGTGTCTATGATTTACCAGTCCGGTATACGAACACCGTTTACGTGTTCATACCGTTCTCAATACACAAAGTACGAAGACAAAAAGGGAAAAAAAGAAAGAGAGAGAAAGAGAAAGAGAAAAAGAAACATAATTCTTAACACAGATATCGGTGGGCGAGGCCTACTATTTTTATCCGACTTTATATTTCATAAAAGTGTAAGTCTCTATATACATTTTTGTTAAAATGTATTGTTTTATAATAAGTATGTCTATTATATATATATATATAAATTATATATATATATATATATAATGAATACGTTGCAAAGTTTAATGATACTGATGAGAATGAAAAATAAATGTTAATCATTGCAACTTGGTTTCTAAATTGAAGTACATTACATAGAGTAATAATAGCCGTACGCGACGATCACATCTCTCGTGTCAAGCAGAAGCGTTGGGAAGTATCTCTTGGTGCTATCGCTTACTACACACATTACACAGCCAGACGTGTACACGCGAGGAAAAAAAAAGAAAAAACGGAAGAAACTAACAAAGTATACATTGTACATTGTAGAATGTAGCCTATAGCCTGCTGGAGCCTTAATCTGTTCACTTTACGTTGGGGGAACGGGGGGATACTATGTACATATGTTATTTGGATGAATGAATGCGACGATGCGCACTACCATTTGATTCTTAATGCAATAGGATTCGAAACGTGTGTGTAATATTATTCGTACTTTGTAAGTTACATCGTAATTCAAGGCGTCATCTCCTTCAGTCACGATATAAGATAACTTCTCGGAGAGGGTGGGAAAGGGGGAGAGAAAGAGAGAAAATGCAGATTCTTGCCATTGATCGTGGACGGTTGAACAAAATGTACGTACGTGGATAAAAAAGCATACGATAAATTGTCTGTTAGCACATGCGAGGCACAATAGCAAAGTTATTCATGTAAATACGACATCGCACATTACATTATACTCGAGTCGTTGTTTGTATTACGTATGTAAATTACAAAATGGAGAGCGTTGAGGTTTCGAATCTTGTCAAAACTCCACACACACACATACACACAACATAGTTGCCTACGAGATATTGAAACTAGGTATTACCTACAATCGAGTGTATCGTAACGTAACAAACGCATGTCCTTATGTAAAAATTTAAACACAGAATACATTTATCAGTTAAATTATGTATTATTGAATGTTATGATTGATTAAATAAAGTGATATGACACTTTATATTCGGGTTCTCAAGCTGTGGGAATGATTTTGCCCTGGAAATATATCAGTAGTTTGCATGTATGTTACGTCAAAAGCAAACAATTGAACTATCTAACACAGAGAAAGATTCGTCTAATATTTTTCTTTATATAATTACATGTGCTGGGACCAGTATGTTGGCTATATTGTTTCCTAGGAGGGATTTTAATTTGAGTTTCTCCTGAGTATCTAAGAGAAAGAGATACATGCATCGCCATCACTATTTTCTCCTATTCTAATTTCTGGATCATCTACAATAAGCGACAAATATTCACAGATAAGCATCTCTTTATTTTACAATCTGTCTCCATAAGGATCACACAGTGGTTGGAATCCGATAAAATTTATATACATTAAAATAAATATCCTGTCATGTTGCGCGTTTCACGAATAATAACTGCATCGTATCGATCCAATAATGTTACAATCAGCGTGTACTTCGATGATGCGGTTTGCCTGTACGATTAACGACAAGAGATGTGTCGTTGTAATTACCGTTGTTACCGCGTGTGATTTACCTATCTTGATTTACGTAAACAAATACACCAGTACGTGCGTACACCGACGCGTGAATCTAGCCTGACCTTAGTGCTGTGAAAAAACGAATACGTACCTCGATCAGGCCGTGCCGTAATTGCGCACAGAGCGAAATGCGAGAGACAAATGTCCACGGCGAGTAGAGGAACGGAGCCGAGATTTGACGTTCGTGGGCGGCCATCTATGTTTAAACGCCGGCCGTTGCTAAATGGCAACCACAGACGCCGACGCTGAACACGTGATTCGAGACGACGTCTTCTTTCTCTCTACTCGCACATTTCTCTTGGGGAAAAAAAAAGAAAAACTCGAGAAACCAAGCGCGTCGTTACAAGTGCTTTCGCGCAAATATACTCGTGCGTTCGTGATTCAACAGGGAAATTATCGTTTGAATAACGCTCGAGGCGACAAAATCGTTAAATCTACACCACAAAGATATATACTTGTCGTGGATCACGTCGTACCGTGCTGAAATATTCCCACGAGCGAAACTGTACGACGCGCCGTGGGATCACCGTGGGACGGAGTGATATTTCGCGAAATTCACGTCGGCGAACTTATGAGCGAGAAAAGCACGACGTAAAGCACAGAACACCGCACTGCGTGTGCGTAACGTATGTAAATAGAACGGCGCACGTGGTGAGCGGTTGTTGCGGACAACGACGGCGCCATCTGTGGTGCACGAGAGTAACATCCTCGCGCTGATCGTCCCTCGTCTGCAGTTGCAACCACCCTGCACATATTCGCCTCCGCCATCATCCGTGGATGATTTCGAGGACAACGAGCAAGATATACTTCGCCGTGCCGTGTTTACCTGTCGCCTACCGCTCGAGGAGGAACTCGAGCGTGCCGCCCGCAAGAAATGGCTTACAACTTTCCAGGAGTGCCAGCAACCGCTATGCCGCCCATGGGTGAGTGTCACCCATGGTCACCTTCAACCGTCGTTGCTCCGATATTTACTCCCTCGCAGAGAGCTGCCTTCGTTTCGAGAATTTTAAGAGGATATGTTATTCCCAGGCATGGGAGCGATCGGTCCGTTGGGTATACCCGGACCGCAGGGCTTCATGGAACTCGCGGGTCAGGGGTTCCCGCCGCTGCCGCCACCCATACCGCTGCCCGGGATGAACGACTCGCCGTTGGAGTTCAGTACGAACAAGAATCAGCCTCCGGTAGTGCGGGAAACTTCGGACGACAGTAACGACAGGAGAAATGATAAGAACGACAACAGGAGAGACCGGGAGAACAGGGATAGCAGGGAAACACGAGATACCAATAGGAGGTATTTGATTTCCTGGAATTGTGTTCCTGGTAAAACGCTACCTGGAATTCATTAAAAGGATGCCGAATTAAGCAAGCGTGAAAAAAAGAGTGTAATACGTTATTTCTAAAATATGAAGAACGTTCTATAAAACATGTATCTTTTGTAAAATATAGGAATCAATAAGCCAATATTAATTATAGTTTGTATGTTCTTGCGAAAGGTCGAGAAGCGAGCGCAGCGACAGACGTGACAGAGATCGGGAACGGAGGGAAGAGAGAAACGAACGCGACAGGAGGGACGATCGGAGAATCGAGGAGAGAAACAACGGGAATTCTTCGAAAAACAATAATGCTCATTCGAATAATTCGAACAACAACGAAATTCTTTCGTCGACCAACACGAACAATACACCGAGTATAGGCGCAACACACATAGAGCCCACCACTAGTGTCTGGGGTATGGGGGTAGGTTATTCCATGGTGGGAATGGGTCCTATGGGACCGATGGCGCCTATGATGAGCGAAATGGCATTGGGCCCCCACATGAGCCACACGCACGGCTACAACCCGATGGGTATGGGCATGATGTCGCATGACGGAAGTATGATAGGCGCACAGATACTGGGCGCCGAGCAGATCATGACGGACGCAGCGCAAATAATGACCGCGAGCTTGCCACCGCCGCCTACGACACCTCAAGGTACCAAAGAGATTATACACTGTAAGAGCTGTACGTTGTTCCCACCGAACCCGAACGCCCCGCCACCCACCACGCGAGAGCGGCCACCGGGGTGTAGGACGATCTTCGTCGGAGGTACGTATATTTGCAAGGTAGAAATAAATTCAGTTTCTAAAGTTAGATAGAAGTCAATTTAAGCTTCTAAAGTTAAGTGGTTCATCCTTTACTTATATTTAATACTAAAAATAAACTTGGTAGTCAGGGTAAAACCGAGAATAAAAATGAATTATTTATTTATATCTATGCGAACATTTACATCTGTATAACATGATCGCGCGTACTATTTGCACAGGGTTACCTGAAAATATTACCGAAGCTATAATACAGGAGATATTCGAGCGATGCGGGGAGATCACCACTCTGCGTCTGTCCAAGAAAAACTTCTGTCACATACGCTTCGTGCTGGAAGCTAGCGTCGACGCGGCGATTTATCTGTCTGGCTACAGGGTGAGAATAGGATCCAGTGGCGACTCTGCAAATACAGGCAGACTGCATGTAGACTTTGCTCAGGTTTGTTGTTTGGCTGAAATTGTCCAATTGTCTAAAATTACGCTACAATCACGTAATCTAATCTAATCACATCTACCTGTTTGGTCATTAGCATATAAACACAATGACCACTGCTGTATACCACTTGTTTAAACGTAGGCTAGAGATGATCAGTATGAATGGGAATGCAGACAGCGACAGTTGCAAAGAGAACAACGTCACAGAGAGAGAGTGGAAAAGGAGAGGCAAAGACCACCGTCGAGTCCACCTCCGGTGGTGCACTACACGGATCACGAGGCATCGAATATCTGCGAAAAAATTAAGCAAGACGACACGTTTATGAAGGCGGTGCAGGTGAGTGATCATTGCAACAAGCAGTTCTCGATCTCCTAAGACAAAGCGTTTATTTATTAACTGGCTGAAACTATTTTTCTCAATTTCGGTCGAAACCGAATATTCGATTCTTTTTCGTTTTCGGCCGAAAATCTAAAAAATAATTTAAAAGACAAATACTTCCCTGATTTTTATATTTTTTGAAATTTTAAGTTTTTAAGCTTCAATCACCAGTATCGCTATCGAGATATTTTTGTCCTGATCACCAACGATATCGATACTCTTGATTAAACACCCGTTTCAATATTAGTATCGATACTTTCATGGTATAGAAAATAGCAACGGTAACGCGAGATGGAGAGCTTACGCGAACAGCGGCGATGTGTCATGCCCCGATAGTTGAAGGTTCATATCATTAAATCTATTGATCGAATATATCACTAGGGCCTCACAATTGATGTTTGTTCGCAGGTAGTCGTAACGTGGTTAGAACGAGGAGATTGCACGAAACGTAACGCCAATATCTTCTACTCGATGATACAGTCGACGAACTCCCACGTGCGCCGACTGCTGACGGAGAAGGCCGCTTATGAGGAGGAGCTGCAGAAAGCGAAGGAACTGATGAAGGGACGCATGCAAGGGCTTCTCATACAATGTACGTACACGCACTCATTTTCTCACTCATTCTGTCTCTGATACTAGCTCCATACCGTATCGTTCATATTTCGTGTGCGCGAAGAAAACTCGCACCACACGTATCGCTATTGGCTGGTAAGTTCACCTTGGCATAAATAAGCTCAGCAAATCGGGGAAATCGTCTCACCTCCTTGTCCGGATAGAACGAACGCAACCGAAAATCGTGATTATCTCGATCGTGATCGTGTGTTAACGGTATCGACATGGCGATATCGTTCCTCACTGTATGTGTGTGTACGACGAAACCTCGTGTCACGTGTCGTGTTCCAATAATAAGCAGAGATTTTGTTCTTATACCAGTTCACACGAAGGTACGTTTTACATTGTCACACGTGAATGATAACGAAGAGTAAACGATTCATGACGATTAAGGTGTACGGCAACCGATATCATAAGGTACAAAAATCAAATCGAACCTCTCTCAAGCTTGTCGATCTTGACGTTCTGATATTCCGGCGATAATACGACGCTTTTTGCATATCCGATGATACGCTTGACGTGAGAAAAGGAAACAAGGCAAAAGCAAAAGCGAGGAAAGATCGAAGCTCACTCTCATACACGACGAAGTGCCTCTCTCTCTCTCTCTCTCTGTCTCGTCACTAACTTTCGCAATCTCTCAAGTGTATCATAGCGAGTTCTTCATATGAATTCTGTTTATGGTCAATGCACGATTGGAAGCGGCTCGGTAGGAAGGATCAGTGATAGTAGGCGAGGATAAGGTGGGTGAAAAATCCTGTCTCTCGGACTTAGGACCCAACAAAGCCAATGAACGAAGGCGGTTTATCGAGCGAATTCTGTCTCATAGAGCCATAGTGTACTTGAAAACTGCATGCTTGGCAATGCTAAGGATTAAGGGTGATGGGCTGGACGTTCGTTGTTAAGGTACCATTTTGAACAGCAGATCAAAAGTTTCAAAAATCTCAGCTTGAACGATTCTCTCTCTCCCTCTCTCTAACTGCTCCTTTACAGAGCCATTTGTCAAATATCTCGCGCGACGAGCGCTTAAGCACTGAACGAAGAAACAGAACTGATTGACAAGGTCGATTTACCGGAGAACCGGCTCGTTCAAGATGGTCCTTAGCGTCGGAAGTCTGCGGTATATATTGCAAGTCCTCGGGGGTTACGTTTCCGCAGAGATGAGATGAAAAGGCGAGAACGATGAAAGCGGAATATTTGGTGAAAAGCAAGTTTACGTTAGTTTAGATATGCGCTACGACACGCTCGGCACGATCTATCCACGTGAGAGAGAGACTCGTGAGACTATTCGTGGCTCTGCATACACGCGAACACACACACATATATACACGCTCCGGATTAGTAAAGGCGGGAAGTATGTGAGAATTTAACGAAGAAGATCCCGAGTGTGTATATGTGTGCGTGTGTGTGTGTGTGTTCACGGGGCACGGGAATCAGTCACGATATGTAAAAAAACTAAACGTGTTCAAAAAAAAAATTAGAGTACGAGTGACGCGGTATGACGAATGAAAGGTGTGTAGAAAGAGAAAGAAAAAAAACGAAATGAACATAGACGAGACTACGAGCGTAGAGTTTCAATTCAAAGCAAAGGTATACAACGGAGGATTTGTTGTGTTTTTGTATGCAACATGCGCCCATGTCATCAACAGTCAGTCAGATCGAACGAGTCTTTACTGCGGCCAGCCACAAGAAGGTCTGGGATCACTTCACTAAGGCGCAACGGAAGAACATCGAAATGTGGAAGAAGCAATCTTCGGTATGTATGTATACTCCACTCCCACATGCTGGTAGCGTGTCTCTTTTCTTTCTCTCTGTCTCCCTATCTTTCTCTAGTACTTCTCTACTCTCTCTCTCTTTCTCTCTCTCTCTCTCTCTCTCTCTCTATCTCTCTCTCTCTCTCTATTTTTCGCATAGTTTCAAGCAGTATGATCTCAGAAGTTTTGTCTTGAAGTCGCAAGTCTGCTCGTCCGAGCATAAGTTTTGTGCACGGTACCACCAATGAACACCCTCTCTCCCCCACCCCACACCCCTCTCTCTCTCTCTCTCTCTCTCATGTTTTGCAAATAGTATTACTAAGGTGTCACAGGTAAGTGAAAAGGAGGAGCCGATTCACCTACGAAACGATAAAGAAAATACGGTCAGACACACGCCTTTCGTGCGTAAACGAATTCCGATTTTACCTTTCTTACTGTCTCACCGGTATGGCAGACCGTAATGTCCTGTTCGGCAACACGCACAACATTAAGAACAACATACAGAACAGAAGGTAAATTGCGAGGAGTAGTGGCGACTTCTCGGGCGACCGAAAGGCGACCACGACGAGACTACTACTACTACTACTACTATCCAGCATGGATTCGCAAATGAGACATGCGTCTCGTTTTCCCAAAACGGCGTTACTCGATAAATTTATATATATACGATACCTATTATTTCTGTACTTCAGAGCCGCATCCGCCACACTCTTGCTCACGCTCAGGTAAGCTCAAAGCGCTGCGAAGAGAAAGGGGTCGCGAGTCCCGAGGGGGGAGAAAACGCTTCCGCTTCCGAAAAGCACGCGCCAGAGAAAATCCTCGCGTCTCGCCTCAACTCTGAACTACAGAAATTTACGTGTTTCGTTCTCTACGTGTATACCGAAAAAAAAAAAGAAAGGAAAAAGAAAAGTAAAAAGAGAGCACGGAGAAAACAAATTTTGCTGGAACAGCAAATGTTTGTCAATATAGTGACAGCAAAAAAAATGTTTGCTGTCTAAACAATTTTTTTGTTGTTGCCACTGCATCGACAAACGTTTGCTGTTCTAGCAAAATTTGTTTTCTCTGTGAGCGACACACGCTGTACAAAATTCGTAACGACAGAGACACACTCTCGGGGATACGCGGCCGAGAGTAGTAACCGTAGTTCGCGGCGCGAAAGACGAAACTACATGTACTCTCTCTCTCTCTTTCTGCATGTATTTGTGTGAGACACAGCGATGGCCGCAGATCGGGGCACTTTGTATCTTTCGCTATTCGCAATGGCAGGAAATAAAAGCGGTGCAGCTGGAGGACAGTCTCATGGAGGGTGAGGGCGAGATGGACGTGTCGGACTCGGAGGAGGAGCCGCAGCGTAAGAAAGGCCGCAATCCGTCGGACGGCAACGAGGACGCCGAGAGGCTGCAGGCTCTCAAGGAGGAGAACGACAGTCTGAGGTGTCAGTTGGAAGCGTACAAGAACGAGGTGTGTGAGAATCGTCGAATTCAGCCCTATGTATGGAATGTTCAATCGCTTGTCTGTCGCTTGCGTTCGAAGTTATTGTGAAAAATTAATTCAACTAATTCTTCACGTTTGTCGCTTCCTCTCTATTATTAATATATCCTTTTAACTTCTCTGTCTTTATTTTTATATATTTTTTTCGTTTGTCTCTCTATTTCTTCTTTTTTCTCGATTTTCCTTGTTGTTGAAATATGTTATAAATAAAAATATGTTATAAAACTGAAAATTACGCTTCGCACCAAAGAGGCAATTTCTCATAAATACAAATAAATGAATAAATTAATCACGATCATGAGTCGACTCACCGATTCCGGGATTCGCGCGAAAATGCCGAAGAATTCTTTCACGAGTTTTTCGATCGTTGCGCGCAGGTGGATCTCCTCAAGTCGGAGACGAAGGCCGAGATGGACGGCAAGGAGAAGCAGATGAAGATGCTGCAGAAGACGCTGAAGGGTATGCAGGACCAGCTGATGCAGTCGCGAAAGCAACAGGCGCAGGACGACCAGAAAATTAAAGACCTGACGGTCAAACTGAACGCCACGAAGAAGGAGGAGCCCAGGGAGAGCGAGATCATCACTCTCGACAAAGACGACGACATAAGCGAGGAGTCACGCACGCCGAAGCAGCACATTCTTGCCCCCAACTTCGTGCAAGTCACCCAAAAGGATGCGAAGCTTATCGGTAAGTTCGTCATCAGTTCTCTAACGACGAAGCGAATTTCCGACGGACGACTAAAACGCGTTTTAAGTCTTTTGAGTCTTGGCACATCCTCAAGGATATACGGTATAATAAAATTAATTGATAATAATAAAATAAAAATATATTTTCATTGATCGCTTTCTCTCTCTCTCTCTCTCTCCCTCTCCTTTGGTAGCTATTTGATGAATAATGGTTTACTTATGTTGAAATTTTCTGGAAAATTTTCCAATTTTACATCATTTAAAATTCCCAGATTTCCAATAAAATCCTCAGAGAATCCCCTGATTTTTTCAAACAATAAACATCCTGCTATTGAATTAGTTACATTATGTTAAAAATTGGCGCTTATAGTTATTGTATTCATTACGGTTATTTAAAAATTGTTTAATTTTTTCTTGCGGAAGCCGCTCTTCAAACCAAATGCTGTTTACATCATGTTAATTGCGATTCGTTAATAACACATTGCTCGGATTTCAGGACTGATAGCGACGTTCCTGCACATTCATCCGTTCGGTGCGAGCGTGGATTATTTATGGTCGTATCTGCAGAAAATGGAACCCGGTATCAAACCAAATGAAGTGGAGGTTCTGATGCAACGCTTCCCGCAGGTGTTTAAGCAGGAACTGTTCGGCATCGGCGCGAATATGGAGAGGCGTTGGCAGTTTTCAGGTTTTAACGTTTATCGCAATCACTGATAAAATCGACTTAGACGATTGAATGTAAAAAGTTACGAAAAATTACGCTGTCTCGTTGTTCCTCTCTTTAGCGTTATCACCCACAGTTCGCGCGATCCGCAATCGAGGCTCGTCGAAGACGTGAGAAAGCTCCACGCTCGTTTTGTTTTACAACAATGGCGAACGAAGTTCGGTGTGTCGATGTTGTGAATTAATAAAGCATCTTTATTAGTTTCACACGCAACGTATGACTCGCAGTTGGATCTCGATTGCGTCGACGCTTAGCAAAGATCGATCGGAGTAAGAGTTTTGATATTTTTCACATCAATTGAATCTGATATTTTCAACGTCGGATTTAATTGTCGAGCTCATCAGAGACTAAAGCGACCTCTCTTCTGAAATCAATTGAATTGCATAAGTTTAATTTGCCGTCGTCATCAGACCGCTATGTTCTCGCCTCTTATGTCTAAGTTTCGGGCCACTGTTTTAACTCTTTGAGTCTCACAAAATTCAACATTTGTGCGTTTGAAAAGTTCAATTTGAAAAGTGGGCTCAGCAGAAGAGGATTAAATTATTAGTATGAAAAAATTAGAAAAATATTGGTATTTTATAAAATGCCTAATTTGGCTTCCGTTAGTGCGTCTTTCCCGGATTTGTTCCCGACGTTTCGCGTACATTTCAGTTCACTTCAGGGAGAGGAACGACCCGAAACTCACTGCAATCATTAGAAAATACCGGTGAAAATTCAATTTTCACTTAAAACCGCTGTAATAAGGATTATTGTACCGAATAATGCAACTGCTTCTGCTACTGTAAATAGACAGATCGATCGGAATCCTTTCATTTTTGGAGATACATCCTTCGAAGGATATACGCCGAGACTCGGAGAGTTAAAAGATCGCGCTGTAGGATCGACGATTCCATCGCCGTGGATCATCAAAAGTCACTAGCCGAGACCACTAAGAATTAGACGATTTTCTAACGATTCTCTACATTGGCAGTCCTGTCCGGATCGCAATATGGCGCGAGCTGAAGTTTGAAACACGAGCCGCGCTAGGTTAGGTCGACCACGAGATATCCGCGCCACACTCGAGAGGTGTCACGACACACACCATCTGACGCGTCGAGTGGCTGAACAAACAGCCGAAGGTACGTTTAATCCTCCGCTCTCCAAGAAAAGAAAGAAAGAAAAAGCAGACACAATCTGTGCTCGAAGATGCAAGTGAATTACTACGAAGTGCTCGGCTGCGAGAAGGAGGCTTCTCACGAGGAGATCAAGCGGGCTTACCACGAGCGCCTGCTGCGCTTCCATCCGGACAAGAACGACGCCTCGAAGAGGGACGCCCACAGATTCCACGAGGTCCAAGAAGCCTGGAGAATGTTGGGGGATCCGCGATCCAGGAGGCGGTACGACGCGGTCCGCAGGCAGGAGAAACTGGAGGACGAGGGCGGACTCGTGTACGCGCGTCTCAAAGTCGATGAGCTCGAGGAGAGCGTCTTCGGCGACACGTTATTCTATCGCTGCAGATGCGGCGACCGTTACTTCGTCGAGATCGAAGATCTCTCGGAGAAGAACAGCGTGCTGCAGGTGAACTGCGAAAGCTGCACGTTCATCATCCTCGTGGAAACATAGTACGGACGACATAACGATTCAGACTGAGAAGAAATGACGATGTTTTCACTGACACCGGAAACACCTCTCTCTCTCTCTCTCGATATGCAGCTGCGTACAGGCATTTTCCTCGAAGATGCGTGATGCCTTAAGAAAGCAAGACTGACTTCTCTCGAAGATGCGTTACGTACCTGGGCGAAGGCACGAACGAGCTCATGGTTGTGATCGATAACGCGACGATAGTCGGATAATTCGAGGTGTGCGTTAACCTTCCCCTTCTTGACCCCCCTCCGCGTTTGGTTGTACAGCGCAACGAGACAAGATCCACAGTTTATGTAGAAAGAGGTCGAAATCGAATATTTATTTTGTACAAAATATGTTTCTTAGCACAAGGACGTCGTGTGTGCGTGCGCGCGTATGTGTGTGTGTCTGCGTGTCTGTGTATGTATGTACGTGTGTGTACAGTTGTAATAATAAATTTAAAAAAAAAAATAAAATAAAACAAAATCTAAAATATGCAGCAACATCTTTTTCTATTTTTCTTATATATAAAAAAAATGATACAACAGGTAACACATTCTTACAATATAAACTATTGAGCAATATACAAATAAACACGACACCTAAGTCTAGCCTAGGTCCAATAATAAAGATTTGATGCATTTGCACAAATAGCGTAGAGTTCAAGGTAATGCCATTCTTGATATTTGATTCAGCAGAATCCATATAAAATTCGTCAGTGACAATTGATGTCGCGATGATGAATCTAAGTCTTTTTATCGTCGCACAATTCGCACTAGATGGAAAAGATCTGGCTAATACAAATATTCTCGCTTTCGCTCTCTCTCTCTCTCTCTCTCTCAAGATCTCAAATCCGCTCGCCACTGTTGTCGATTGAATCAAGAGCACCGATGCTGCGCATGTTAAACCTCACACGTCGAACATTGCCGATTGTTGAGAAAGGTAAAAGGCTTGTACTGTTTTTTCATCGTTCAATTAAGTCTGTATTGCACACGAGTGTGACTGTGTTGCTTTTCTTCTTTTTTTCTTTTTAAATTATTGCACTGTAACACGAAAATATCTCTTGCTACAGGAAAGAAAAGGGGGTTTTTGCTAATCGAATTCTCGTTCCGAATCGTTTTTGCGGCCGAATTGGCGAAAGTGTTTTCACATTCAAACGCCAACGATATGAAAATACCAGCTTGTGAACGTTTATAAAAATATTTGTCTTTAACCAGATCGATGCTTGTACAAGTGTAGTTATATCGGGATTGGGTTAAAGCTGCAAAGACAGTTTGACAGATCAGCCAGTAAATTATTATAAACATTATGCTCGATGTAGTAACAGGGGTTTTTTTTCTTTTTTTTCGGAAATTCCGTTGCTCGTTAAAAAGGAGAAAAAAAGGGGAATTTGTACAATCCAAATGATGTATCGAAATTGCTGTCAACTCTGTATTATCTCGTCTGCTTCGGGACATATATGAGATTCTTCAACAAAATAATAATGTCATTTTGTCCGGAAGTTTCGCACGATGCAGCCCCGTTGTTGTTGTCTTTCACCATCGACAAATGCTGCCGTATAAATGCCCGCATAATAAAACCGTTATGCTCCATCACGGCAGATTGTGATGAATTTCCGTTCTTTTCCTTCTGTCTTGGCTCTCATTACCCTTACACCGTCGGTGATATTCCACTGAATCGTTATAACAGCGAAAATTCAAAAGTACACTGATAAGCTCCCGTAAGTTTCTTCTTCTTTTTTTTTATGAGTCTTATAAATCTCACGTTTCTTTTTTCTTCCTTCCTTCCTTTCTTTTTGTACACCACGACAACCGCTCGCCCGCATTCTCTCCGACAATGGATATATAGAAATTAACTCTTTTCCAACGAGCACTTGTTCAAAATCCATCCGGAGATCATACATTAAACTCTCTTCTGTCACGCTCAGCAATTTCCCCCCACCTTCCCTCCCACTCTTTCTCTCTATATATCTCTCGTTCATTCCATTCCGTCTTTCGCTGCTCACGCAAAACCACCCGATTTTTACGACGCGTACAGTCTTATCACAATCACACCATGTAATACATGTATCATTGTACAGTAGATTAGCTTTAGGACTACTTAATTCAAGTATGTACAGAAGTCGTACAAAGTGGGCGATTGATCCGTCGCGCGGCACGAAACGGGCGCACTATTTTACCTCAACGTCGAAGTCGAGAACAAGCAGTTTCGTCTCCTCGGTACCGTTACGACTACCTACTGCGCACACTAGTTTCGTATCACTCGCTCGGATTCTCCACACGACGCCGCCGCTGCCACCGCTTTCCAGGGCAACTAGGTTCCTAATGAAATCACCTGCAACAAAAACAACGACGTTTTGATCGTTGTTGATCGAACGTGTGGGCTCGAATCGGCGATTCGATTATTCCCGGAGGCGTGAGTGATACAAACCAGTCTTAACATCCCAGAGTTTTACCGTGCCGTCGTCGGAGGACGTAATCACAAAATGGCTATTGAACTGTAGGCAAGTGACCGCCGACTGATGCTTGTTTGGACCGGAAAGTGTTTGAAGGCAGTGACCACTAACAATGTCCCATACTTTAACGGTGGAATCGGCGTTGCCCGACACTAAGATATTATTGCGCAGCTCCATCCCCGACGTGAGAGACTGATGGCCCATCAGGGTGTGTCTACAAGCACCGGTCTCCACCTCCCACACCCTTATACTCGTGTCCAACGATCCGCTAACAACGTGCACACCGTCGAACTGAAAAGGGAAGGGGTCACGAAAGAAGTCAGTATCGAAAAGCAAGAGGCGAAAATATCTCGTTCCCTGAGTCCCGCTTTTTATTTCGCGAAATTTAACGTTATTTTAACGAAGGAAATGTCAGATAAGCGTACACTGAAATGAAATAAAACGCGCCGATAGATTTGAAAAGTTGTTTCAGCAGAACAATTCGAAAATTTTATCGCGAACAATTAGAAAAGAATCGATGAAAGAATGAAGATGAATCTTTTTCGCGATAAGTTAATTGTCGCCTGGATAGCTCGAAAAAATTCTCCATTAAACGACGCGAATGGGGATAGAGAAGAATTTTTATCGTAAAATCCTGAAATATGCGCCGGGGCTCGAGGAGTCAATGATGCCAATGATGGTACGCGGCGCGTTGTGCCATCAAGGCAGGATAAAATAGGACGGAACGGCGTGTGTTTTACCTGGAGGGAATAAACACGGTTGGTGTGTCCTTGTAAAGTATGAAGGCACTCCTCGCGTTCCGGATTCCAAACCTTAACCATATAGTCGTAGGCACCACTGACCACCAACTTCCCGTCATATTGCACACATCTGACCGCCGCTAGATGTCCCACGAGCACATGCAAGCACACCCCAGTGTCCACCTGCCACACTCTGAGCGTCGCGTCCCTGCTACCACTGACGACCTTGTTACCGTGTAGATGCATACACCGCACCGTCGACGTGTGACCATAAAGAGTGTGAATACACTGACCGGTGTCCGCGTTCCACACTTTCAACGTACGGTCCGTACTACCACTGATAACGATCGCGCCGGACATCTGCGAAGACCACACGCCACCGGTATGCCCTACCAAAGTCCGTAAACACTGAAAACGGAAATATACCACTTCTGTTTCTCTCTCAATCGCCCAAGACTTTTTGCTCCATACTGTGAACTATCGGTAAAAATGCTTCTAAAGGTGGCTCTCCTCAGTCACTTTTAGACGCACTTTTATCAATAAGTGTAAGTCAGTTCCGGTGCAGGAAACAAAACCTTCATATCTGATGCGCATTTATAATTACCTTGCCCGTGACGGCAGACCACACCTTCAAGGTGTTGTCATCCGAGCCACTGACAATCCGATTCCCCGAAAATTGCAGGCACGTGATGACGTGATCGTCGTGGCCCTTCAGCACCTTCGGCGTACGGATCGGCTTCGTCCTCCAGTTCATCTTGATATTGTGCTGCCGCATGTAGGCCTGCTTCCACGGCGACGAGTTGTGGCTGCTGTTCCGGCAGTTCTTGCGTTTAGGCAGCGGCAGGTCCCTCAGGTCCTCTATACCGGCAGCTTTGCACTTCTCCTTCCACAGCAAATTGTCGTCCGCGAGGAAGCGCCAGTTCCGACAGGTCTGCGCCGCTTTCAGGAGATCCTTCGGCTCGAGAAAGGCCAGCACCGACAACGCTAACTCTTTCGGCAGTAGCGATATGAAGTCTCGCTGGAACTGCGGCTCTATCACCTGCATCATGTGACGCACCTGCGTGGGTTCGCATCGCTCTATCAATTCGTCTATCGCTAACATTCTTTCCGCGTTTGACCACCTCTGCAACAAGAATCGTTTCCACTCGCTTTTCCCCATGGCCGTCGTGTGTGAAAATACTACGTATTCTATCCGTTCTGTACATTATCAGTTCTTTCTCGTTGATCTAGTAGAACCACGCTTGTAGAACTCGAAAAGAGACATATATAAAGACTTGGTGGATGAAAGAAGAGAACTAGTGCAGGCTAGTTGCGGACAGTTCAGCGAAAAAGGACAGACCTGTTATTTCAACATAACACTCACGGCAAGTTCTTGTGCAAATACCTGAAATTGCAAAAGCCAACTGTTCATCTCCGGAGGAGGATTATCCTTCGTAGGTATGACGCACCTCACATGTTTACCCTTATCATCTAGCTTTCTCGTGGTCCTGAAGGTAAGGAGGTGTGAGAATCGGCGCACGTGATTCTTATCAGTCACGAAGAAGAAGAAACGCTTACATTGAATGAGACTTTTCCTCTGGAATGAGTTTCTTACATGGTAGACAGCTCTCTGTCTCGCTCTTCCGCTTTCTTTGATGCTGAACAACGTCCAATGGCACGCAGGTATGCAGTACTGAACTCTGAACTTCCTCGGAGAACATCGAGGATTGGGACTGCAACACGGGAGATTGACTATTGTTGCCCTCGACTTCTGCTGTACACTCGGCGTCACAAAACAACCCAATGTCGCTGATCTACGAATATGACACAAAGCATCAATTATATACACGTAAATGTATTACTGTAACAACATCTATCTATATACGTGGATGTCTTGTAAAACGGCGAACGACAAAACAGGTACAAACAGTACTCCAAGTATGGAGGAAACAATATCGCGGTAGGAATTCTTACAAAGGTGTGAGCAAACATTCCTTAAATTCCGTTCAGTTTGTTCAGTTGATAAACTCAATTACTCGCACAGATTTGCAACTGCTCTGCCATCTGTTCCTTTTGTTGTTAGGAAATACAATTGTACACTTGCGCGCGTTAAAGCAAGGCTGGATTCTCCGGCTTACCCCACTTTCCGCTTCACTGCTGTCTTCATCATCCTCGTCCCCTTCGTCTCCATAATCCTCAGATTCTTCGTCTTGCGGCAACACAGCATGCATAGGACCCAAGGAACTCGGTCCTGGCACTCCCTCGATACCCTCGATAGGACTAGGACTAGTACCGCCTAGTTTGTTATTGTCAGATATATTGTTGGAGGACGAAGAAGGGACAGACATTACTATACGCACTAATGTAGTATGTATGTCTACCTGGGCAACAACAGAAAACATCAATACCCGTTAATGCTCTGAACGAGCACGTGGTGGCTTATCTTAATAACCAGGGGCCCCCAATTATAATCCACGTCGCACAATTTCTACACACAACACATCGTAATTCGGGCACCACGGGCGGAAGTGACGCTGCCTGGTTGCATCACGAGAGAGGCGGCCACGAGGAGCGAAGAAGACACGAATCGTACGCGTGATAGGTTAAAAATCCGTCGGCACGATTCACCGTCGTTCTCGTCGCGCGCCCCTAACCTTGACTCGCGCCGCGTGCCCGACCTAGCCCGAAAATATATCGCAAAGAAAAAACAAACCGGCAGCCACACCCCACGAAGTGTCCGCGAGAATCGACGACGACGGGCCACGGCGTGTACGTGGGGGCTCGGGCGAAACTAAGCGTAAAAACTAGGTGGATATCTCTATACTTAGGACGAACGCCGCGTTCCCGCTCGTCAGCCTTCGATCGGTCAGCCCCGACGACGATGTCCCCGACGATGCGCTGATGGGCCCGACGGACTGTCCCGCGTGTCAAGCGTGTGCGAATCGACGGTAGTCCCTATCAAAGGAGCATAGCATTCATCTCTCTCGCGTGTCGTCGGCGATAGGTTAGAGGTAGCGTGTGGCAGGGCGAAAGCGGGCGCGGAACTGCTGACAGCCACGAGGGGGAATTAGGTAACGGACGTAAACACGGCGAACGGCGGTTCCATCGGGCGGCCTCCTGGCAGGCTTCTACGGTGGCTCTTGCGGTCTGCACCTCTCCCCGACTCCTTCGCACTCGTTCGCACGGCAGGTATATACGCACATATGGCAGAGCGTGCGCGCTAAGCCGCCTCCACACGTCCTTTCGGACGATCACATTGGTTCGGCCCTACGGATCCCGCGGATCTCTCGGTCTCGGAAATATGCTCCAATCGAAGCCAACTGAACGCCTGAACGTTGTAACATATATAAATATAAGGAAATAGAATAGAAGTATATGTAAAGAAAAATATGTATTTTACACACGACACGTGACAAATGTCACAACGGCTTGTACTCGTTTTTTTCCTGATGTGGTTCGGAAAGCGGCTGCCGTCCAATGGGAGAGCTCATCTTCGGAGAAACATTCTGCCATTGGACATTAATTGTGTTCCAAACTTTATCAGGAAAATACGTCAGTGCATAAGTAAGTGTACATAAGGTTGCACAAAAAGTTTGACAATTGTAACGAAGGTTACTCGTATGATTTTCAACCTTGCACACCGCGTCCTTGTGTAGACGTAAGATTGAAAATTGTAGGAAATTCTGGCAAATAACTATTGAGGTATTTGTGCTGCTAGGTGTACCACGTAGTAGGCCTAGTCAGCTACTGATTTTGATACGTGTCGTTGTGTCGTTTGTTTTACGACTGTTTATATCTGCCAAGTGTTATTGTCGCGAAACTTTGTTAAATTGCTTCTTCAGACTTACTAAAGTACTGTCATTATCAACGCAAGCATCTTCTTTCTCTTGCAATTATTATTTTCATTTATTATATAATTTATACTATAAAACATAATTTAACATTGTATGTATGTATATAAACATATATATATATATATATATACACATATATGTGCACTTATAGTTTTCTTTTATAATTATTGTTATATGTGTGTTGTATTTTAAAGTTTGATTTTATTTATTATAGGAAGCAAAATGTCCACTGAGGTGAAGGCATTACTGAAGGAGGCTCGTGAGTCCTTCAAGCAACACGAATACATGGAAACAATAAAAAAATGCAGGAAGATTGTGAAGAGTGCTAAAACCAATTATCCAGCATTGGTTCTGTTAGCTGCTGCCATGCAGGAGATGGAAGAATTCAAGCCGCAGGTAATGATGGTTCTACAGAAAGCTGTAAAGCTCCAGCCAACCAATCCAGTGGCTTGGCAAGGTTTAGTAGCACACTATGAGAAAGCACCAGTGGATGATGACAATTGGAAAATGTTGGCTCAAGCTTACTGCAAGCTTGTGCAATTGGACAGGTGAGATATCTTCTATATATTTTTCCAAAGTATCCTGAATTGTAAGAGATAACAAGAAAATTGGATTTCCATGCATTTTCAGCGATTCTCCTAAGTTCATGCATTTTTTAAACAAAGTCACCGAAATGGTTCTGAAGTACAAAGATGATGAAGTATTGTCCGAGGTGCTCGACACATTGAGTAGAATACGACAGGTACCTATCGATGACAAGACAAGTTTGGTCAACAAGACTCTGGCACATATCTTAACAGAGTATCCCAATACTCTATGCAAATATCAGGGGCTTTACGAGAGTGTACTGTCGTCTGTAATAAGAGATACAGATCTGGTGAACAGATACGACTATTATAAGAAGTATCTCAAGATGTTATACGACGGATACAAGTTTACAGTTTTATTGGCAGAAGCCAAGGATATGCATACCCAGTTTCCACAGGACAGTCTCCCTCTGGGTAAGTTGTTTGTCAATTTTCCCACTGAAATCTTCCGCATATTGATTTGCTACAATGTAACATAATCTGTCTGCCCAACAGAATGGATATGCCGTGTGTATTACGAAGAGACTGTGCTGAATGAGCGCGAGCTTGAAATAGACATAACTTATTTCTGCGAGTCCCTCTTAAAATTGAACATGAGCTCGACGATAGCCCTGATCGCAAAAGCGACGTATCTGATGCGCACGGACAGCCTGATTAACTGTCGCGAGTGCCTGAATCAGGCGATCTTGCTGAATGCTCAGTCGTTCGACGCTTGGTTCTTGTTGAACAAGGTGTACCGCAAGCTCTATTGCTGGCAGGAGGTCGAGGAAGCCTCCAGGCAAACGCTACGTTTGCTGAGGCCTCCCCTGAAGGACAAGCTGCGTCACAAAATTAAATTGACGTTACTCGAGGCGATGAGTAGAAGCTGTGACAGACGGAAGTTGTTGGAGACGCGACAGATGTGCAACGAGGTGGGTATGTTGTAGCAACACCCAACATCAGATATACCGATCTGTACTGATCGACAAGTTTGCACTTTGTAGTTGTTGAAGAACAACTTCTCGGCGCAACTGCGACTGATAAACGCCCGGATAGACGTGACATTGGACGAGCCCAGCGTTATGGACGCGTTGAACGATTTGGAGTCCCAGGACGAGATCAAGCTCCAGGTTCTCATCGTCAAGGCGACGCTTCTGAAAAAACTCGGGCACCTCGAAGAAGCCACCAACGTCTTGGAACAGGCTCTGGAAAGTTCCGATGCCTGGCTATTGTTTGGTCAAATATATTGGGACATGGGTGATTATAATCACAGCCTGGTGGCTTTCTTGAACGGCGTCAAGGCGGACCGCCATAACTGGCGGTGCATGATCCATCTGGGACGTTATTATCGCGAATGCGCCAACGACGTGGAACGCTCGAGGAGGTGTTACCAGACGGCATTGCAGATCAACCCGAGCTCCGAGGAGGCCGGGATCGGGCTGAGCACCGCTTATCGGCTGCTCAAGAACACTGTGAGCTCTCGTGCAACGCAAAAAGCGCTTCGCGCCTTGCGCGAATTTTCATTCGACCGGCACCAATGAAAACGGCAATACAATTGTATGACACTTTTCGTTCAGTTTTTGCCTGAAGGCAGAAATCGTTCACACTTTCCAAATATCTCTTTTTAATCTCTCGTAATGATATTTTGCAATTTCCCCCTGCTGAAAATTACTTTCGTCGGTGGCGTCGAATTATCCCGATCTCCTCGAGTTTCCGACTAACGGTGGTCTCTCGCGTCAGGACGCTAACATACAGCTGCTGCAGAGAGTGACCATGCAGGGGAACGGCCCGAAGTGGGCCTGGCTTCAGTTGGGCCTGCAACACCTGGACGACGGTGATGCGGGGGAAGCCATAAAAGCGTTGCAGCATGTCATCAGAGCCGATCCCAACGACAAGTATACCATAGTTATCTCGCCGTTGTCTCACGCTCGCGTTGCGAACCGGCGCGACGACATGTCTCATTAGTTTCTTGCTACGTTTTACGCAGTCACAGCTGGGAATCTCTGGCGGACGCGTATCTGGTGCGGGGCGCCCACATGTCCGCGCTGAAGTCGTACCAGCGCGCGTTACAACTCAGCCCGGGCTCTCTGTATCCCATGATACAACTTGCTAACATCAAGCTGGTACGTACACTTCGCGGAAATAGACAAGTTTGCGTCCTGAATTCGTTTCTTGAAAAAAAACTGCAAATTTCGCTTCCACAAGACTGAGAAATTTGTGATCTTCAATTTGAGGACACACATTTAAAACGGTCTTTGAAAGAAGATCTTTAGTCATTTGAGCCTCGACTTGAAAATATATCTTATATAATGTGTAAAAATAAAGAATAGAAATATTTACTTATTATATATTACTAATTTGTATATAATAAATATTTTATATAAATCTTTTAATAGAGACTTTATGTGTTTTTTTTTTTTAATAAATATTTGCTTAATTATTATATATTCATATAATTGTTTAATAAAATATTAATTTTATTATCCATGGCTCAAGTAATTGTTAATTACACGTCTCGTAAACATTGATTGATAGCAACCATTCCTCTTTCAGTTAATCGGCCAACACGAGGAAGCTAAAGCGGATTTCGAAAATATACTGCAGAACGACGAGCAATACGTGCTGGCGTTAAAAGGTTTAGGTCAGGCGTGTTTAGGTCTGGCAAGGGAGAACACGGCGAAGCAATTTCTTAGCCGAGCGCGAGAAAATCTGCAACAAGCGGTGGACAGTCTGACGAGTGCTGTTATGATACGCAGCGATTTGTCCTGCAACTGGAAATTGCTCGGTGACGTGTGTTACAGGATTGCCGCTATGCCGGGGAAGCATTGCTACTTGAGGGTGAAGCCCATCTTAATCAGATCCGACAGTGCCGAGAAGCATATCAAAATCAAGGGAGAGGAAACGCTCAAGTTGTCCATTAGGTGAGCATTATTCTTAAAGCCAGTTGCTTCCGAGTCCATCTTGATTTTTTTTTATTCTATATTATCCGGTAGTCCGCATGATTTTAATATTGGTGAATTTTTTTAACTTAACTTTCGACTGACTAACTAGAAGAAGTAACTAGTTATTAACCAACCCTGCTTTTAAGTAATCCTTTCTCAATTCTTTCCTTTATTTTTAGATAGATAAACGGATAAATAGACTTGTCATAAGAAATCTAGTATTTACAAGACTCTTATTCTTATCAGTTGAGCTGTGTAATGTATAGACAGTATTTTCTTAATGTGTTGTTTGTATGATTAACTTATTGTATCATTGATTGAAAAATAAAAGCTTTGTCTATAGATCTTGCCTATCTTTAAACGTGTTTCATCTTGAAATACTTGATTGCGATCCCTGATATGATTCAACAGATATGATTTATTCTTCATTCTTAAATGAATTTTTGTAATATTCATATATTTGTCGGATTTTAAAAGAGATTTAATAACGTTTCGTCGGAGGATGATATTTGATTTCTTCAACTCACGGAATCATTTCGCTCTGTGCTACATCGTCCTCGTTTTGCTTCCAGATGCTTCTGCCGGGCGCTGTCGCTCGCACAAAATTCCGCTCTGCTGTGGCACGATTTGGCGTGCTGTTACTCGATGCAACTACGACGCAACTCGACGATCAACAAAAGCGACGTGGCGGCCAGGTGTTTCGCTGCCGCGAAGCAGGCGGTTAAGCTCTGTCCTCAGTCGTGGCTGCATTGGAACATTCTAGGCGTCATATGCATGTCGCTGAACGTGAGAAACTACGCTTTAGCTCAACACTGCTTCGTCATGGCGACCGACAGAGAGCCGAACAACGCGATAGCTTGGAGCAATTTGGGAACGTTGTACTTGCATCTAGGTACTTCCACGAGATAACCGTCACCAGTGATGCCAATGATGGTACCGAGCCGGTGTGAACCAATCATTGGCATCGCTGGTTGTCACTCTTTTGTTCTGTTCAGTTTAAAATCACACATGCACTTAAACGAGAACTTACAAGAGGATATCACACGAAGAGCTTATTTTCTTGTAAATTCTTTTATCACGTTTTCTGATAATGCGTGGGGAATAGACTGTTTAGTAAAGCTTATCAAATCAAGGAACAGGTCGATTTTGTGCAAAGGAGCAGTAAATTTTTAAATAGTAATGAAGGACGATAGGTAAAACGGGTTGATTCTGGCCCCCGGAGTGTGATAAAAACGATATGTAGTTTTCGAACTGAGTCTGATTCTGATCTTCGAAACATTTTAAGGCAAGTACAGTATAATATAGTAAAAAGGGCCAAAATCGGCTCATTTCACTTATCTTTGCTAAGAAACGGCATATCTCAAGGTAAATTTGTAAAACGCAGTAAATGGTAAATTAAGAAGAAACATAGTCAAGTTTCGTATATAAACTTCGTAAATCATAAAATGGCACGCCTGAAACGGAAGAATAAGAAATTAGGAGTGCCCGACGTGTTCCTCGGTTACAGAATGGTATTTACAGAACGAGCTGTAAAATTCTCCTCGTGTCAGACGATCAAACTAATATATGCGTATCTTCGATTCCACGGCGTAAAGGAGACATGTACAGAGCGAACGAAGCGTACTCCCGAGCGCAACGCGCGGATCCGTGTTACATGAACAGCTGGATCGGTCAGGGATTGATCGCGCAGAGGTTCGCGAAGAAGGAAGCGATGGAGCTGTTCCAACACTCGACGAAGCTTGGCTACCACGACGAGGCGGTCCTCGGCTATGTTCACTGGGTGCTTCACGTCCTCCTGGATCCCACGCTGAACAAAGAGCCGTCCTCCGTCTATTTCATCGAGAATATGCACGCGATATCCGCGGCGACGGACGTTCTCACCTGGTACTTAGGTGAGCGATCGGTTCTTCGTTATCGTGTCCTTCGCGCTTAATTTCACACGTGTGCAATCTCGCGTGTGTCAGAACGCGAGCCCGACGACGTTTACGCCCTGAACACCCACGGCCTGCTGCTGGAACGGCAAAAGTTGCACAAATCGGCGGCCGATCGATTCGCCGCCGCTCTGAAGCTCGTCGAAGCTCTCGACGAGAAGCTGGATATGATAAACGTTAACCTGGCGCGCGTCCTGATCCAGCTGGGACAGCACGACGAGGCGGTGCGCTTGTGCGGACAGGTGAAACGCGACAGTTTCAATTCCCAGTGCCAGTTGGCGTTGTCCTTGTTCAAAGGTAAAGGATTGCGAGTCTAGGTCGCTCTCTCGGCTTCTTTTTCTTTATCATTACCGCTGATCTAGATTTCTGATAATGGACGTAATTATTTCAAATAATCAACTTATAAAGAGAGAAATGTGCGTGTGTAGCCGAGCAGTACGAGAAGTCCTACGAGAGTTACGAAACGGCTCTGCACTGGTTGGCGGACACCGACATGGACACAGCTTACGTCCTGTGCGCGATGGGCGCGATAGCGTACATCTGTAACAAACCAGACGCGGTGAAGACACTGCTATTCCAGTGTCTGCAAACGTCGCAGCCCGTGATGACCGCTTATCTGGCGCTGGCGGCCTTGGGGATTCTACACGACGACTTCGACCTGACCAGCCTGGTGCTGAAGGAGCTGAAGTTGTACGAGGATCATTCCGAGTACGGTCACCACGCCGTCACGTTGGCCGCGTATTACCACGTCTCTCAGCGCAACATCACCGAAGCTATACGAGTGTTGGCCAAAGGCATTCACAAATATCCCAGTAAGTGGAATCCGTTCGTTCCTAATCTCTCGCAGAATTCTCACACTTCAAAACCGATCATAGATGACGTTCGATACTGGGTACGTCTCGTTCGGATTCTGCTGCTGGATACGAACCTGAGTAAGTTCCGCAAGTGCGCGGGGAAGGCCCTGAGTCTGAGCAGAAACACCTCCACGACCGACATTGTGTACGTCGCTTGTGCATCGGCGTACAGCCACCTCGGCACGAAGGAAGCTCTCAGACAGGCTCAGAAGAACGTATTCACGTATCCCGCCAATGTCGAGAGCTGGGCGAGTTTAATCGCCGTTCTTCTACACAGGTGAGGCGGTAGTAGTCGTTCGATAACATTACGAATGACAGGCACTGCTATCCCCTTACTATCCTGTATTTCGTTCCCCTCACACGACCCTTCTTCTCTTTACAGGCGTGTAGATGAGGACTGTGAAATTGACAACCGATGGTTGTCGTCGTTAATATCCATAACGGAGGCGCAGTTCCAAACTTCCGAACATATGTCGCGATGGCTCGCAAAAGCGAAGGAGATGAGCAGCGATTCCTGAATTCAAGCGGAATTACAACCCGTGACTCGAGTTGACTTATCATGATTTTATTATCTCCCGATGTTCTTCTACATTCTAAGTTTGATTGATAATAAATCACATATTTTATCAAATCTAACGAGAGAAAGTCTTGTCGAAAAACACACACGAGGAAGGTGTTAGGGGTAACAATAATGAGAGACTTCGTTGATCGTGAGTCGATAAACTTACATATTTATTTATTTATCCATCAAGTTTCACTTTGGAGCTTGACCCAACTTACATATGCGTGACGAACTATTTATCATGGGATATATGAAACACGATCTACAAGTTCTTCCGTGTGCGGCACACACATCCTACAAAAGTTCCCGCAGCACCGGTCTATTGCTGCGCGTAACCGACAACTGTCGTCGCTGGGGAAAAAAGTTGCCTTGCATCTCCTGATTTCTCTGTTTGCGTTTCTGCGCATCTTGTCTTATCTCCGCACAGAGGTGTCGCTCCAAAGTCTGCGGTGGAAGCATATCATTACATATAATTTCCCTTCTTCCTGGCTCTTTTTAGGTCCATATTTCGAACTCACTTTTACCCAGAAAAGTGCCTCTAAAGCTCAGGAATCTATCACCTGATTGGCTGAGAAACCACATTTAAGGCGCTTTTATCGATAAAAATGAGCTCAGAATATAGACTTCAGTATATGAGAATTCATGTAGAATCAACACGACACAGAACGTATTAAGAGTACAATCAATATACGGTAATAAATAATTATTTGAGCAGAACATACCTCAGGCAAAATACGGTTATTGTTCTTCAACAAAGTGATTAATTTGTACAATTCGAAGTCTTCCACGATGTTCTCCTGTGCCATGGCACTTTCCAGCTTCTCTATCTAATAATGCGATTAGGAAAAACGAAACATGATTGATATTTATATACATATATGTTAAGTTGCTAAATATCTAAAACCATTTTTCCAGCTAAATTACACACCACATCGCTGAAGTAACATTCTTTTGGGCTATTCGGCCTATCGTACTCTAACGAAGATCTGAAGATGGGCACTATTTCGGTGAACCTCTTCAGCTCTGTGTATGCAGTAACCTTCAGACATCTGATGTCGATGTATCGCGATTCTCTCACCGCCGTGACAATTTCGACCGCTATATGAGGCATATTTTGATTAATCGCTAGAGCCGTCAAGAATGTCGCGGCTCTGCGCATGATGAATTCTCCTCTTTTATTCAAGTCCCTCCAAATATTCAGGGCATACTCCAGTGTCTCTGGCGTGTCCTGAAAACATCGAGCGTGATTATGCGTAAATAAACTTCGACAATACTTTAATTTCAGTCGTTGCGAAATGTTTACCTCTTTGTAACAGGCAGCCATGACCAATATCAGTGCATTCCTAGGATACAAAGCACCGTCTAAGTATTTGTTCTTAATCAAGTCATAAACCTCTCTCATTTCTATGTATTTTTCGTGTTTGTACAACAAGCACAGGAGGATCTGATAACTGATCAATTGCTCAAAGAAGTTTCCGAACTGGGGATCTTTGAAGGCGGTGAGCGCAAGATCCGGTTCGTCCAAGTAATAGAAAGTGCGCATCACAACAGGGCCGAAGATAAAGGTGCCGAATCTCAAATCCTTGTTCTGCACGTTGAATTTCGTTAGCATCTTGACGAGCAGCTCGATATCCTCCGGCTTCTTCTGAGCCAGATGCAACATGGACTTCAAGTCCTCTGTGAAGATCATGCTGGATTCTGTGTCGCATACTTCCTGCATCTTCGTACGGAATGTATTCTCCACGTTTAAAAATTGATTGCGGAAATTTAATCTTGAATTCTCATAGCCCTGCATACCAAGACTCTGCTCTGTGTATAAGAATCTGCAGGCTACAATAAAAAAAATCACATAATCTCGTCAATTGCATCAGAATTCAGCGGGGAGCATGAAAGTTTTGGAACTAAATCTAAAAAAAATCAATTTCATACGTGTGAATAAGTTAGTTTTTTTCATAGATCATAATTATTTATATTCTTCATTCGTTCAGTCTGTTCTCTTTAGCTGAACCGGTTGCACAGTTCAAGAAATTTACAAACAGTGAACATGAGAATATTATACGTACGTTTCAAAATATGTAAATTTCTTCAACAGTCAGTTTAACTAAAAAAAAAAGACCACTTATCTCTGAATTGCAAATTTTCCATAAAATACAAGCTCTCTGTAAGAAACTGACCGCTTGAATTCTCATTAAACATCAGACGTGATACAATTGATGGAATTTTATGTAACACGTTTTGAGTACACGAGTAAACCCGGCGAACACACACACAGTAGGTTCGTATTCGCCCTTCGATTTCGAAAGTCGCGTGCGTGTCTACTTGTACGAATTACTCGAACGAAGTCACACATTGTCACTCGTATCCATCAAAAAAAATTATTATTTATAATTTCTTCTGAGAATATGTCGAGTAATGTGTGGTACAAGCGGTATCTAATTTTCCTCAATGCGGCACGCTGGTGTAGGACAAGTGTAACTTAAGGTTAGATCGATATTACGTACAATTCAATAGATTATTTCTCAGCAAGGTATTGCTGGCCAGATTAACGTTGAGTCTCATCAGACCTCTCATTGCAGCCGCCATTGTCTCCACGTGCAATCGATTCGCTTCCTTCCGTCTATGTTCAAATATAACAAATAGTAACTCGGGATATCGGTGGCAATCGTCCGAGATACGCAGAACCAAGTGAAGAAGAAAGCCAGCCGGAAGCTCCCCTGTGCTGCTCGCGTCGCTCGGAATACCACGCGTGATTTCCGGTACGTCGGTGCAGAATTCGGGCATTAACTAAGCCGTTCTAACGTCCGATCCGCACTGTTCGGAGGCGAAAAAACCTTCCGACCGAAGACTGCCCGACATGTTGTTGAGTTGTACTACTTCCTCGTTTTATCGGTGGGAACGGTGGCGACTCGTAGCGGAGGCTTCGGAACTAATAATTTTTTCGGCCGAAGCGGGCTTGGATCGCTCTGGGTGCGAACGGAGACGTTAGGACTGATTAGAGTTCTATGGCTAATAAATAAATCGTCAAGTTTTTTTTATTATGCGGACAAAAGTAAAATAATATGTGATTCAGGAGCGAATCTATCTAGTTAAATTCAATAGTAAAATGGGAGCTCGATTGAAAGATCGGTCTCCCAACGCCATCTAGTGGCGTACTGGCGAACTCGTTAGGCAAAAGTGGGTTCGAGTCTTCGCTAACTGTGGTTTGATTCTTGACTGAATTTTCGAACCGGTGCTTTTGGATGTTTTCTTTAATGTTATTGTGACTTTCGGCAGCGCGGGAAATGCCTCTTGTCAGAAATTACGTTTACATTTGTAGTTTTGAAAAACTGCTCTTTTCAATTTTTCGGAGAAAGAAATGAAAAAAGTTCTTCAAGACTTTACTACACCCATTGTGGATCCAGATTTATAGCTCTTTTTGATCTTTCTGTAAGCGATTGATGACGTTAATTAAGCTTATTGTAAGCTTAATTAATTAGCTTCGTAGTCTACAGAGATAGTGGAGCTTATGATGTCATTAGTCGTATCCGGAGTGATATTCAAGTCTGTTTCGGTCGAAAAAATTATTAGTTTCAAAGTCTCCGCTACGAGCCGCCACCATTCCCACCGACAAATCGAGGAAGTAGTACAACTCAACGATAAGTCGGACAGTCTTCTTATTTGCAAATAAACGCCTCGACGACGGGTCGAGAAATTTTCTCGCCTTCGAACAGTGCGACTAAACGGCAGTTTAGTAAATTTTATTGTCAAGTTTTCAAGTTACACGAATTGAACAAACTCCGTGCATTCTTCGAGTACGTGGAGAAAATTGGAATGAACAAATGCAGCGATCGTTGAAGTAATTAGTTTATTACAGTTACAAGATTATACAAGTGCGCGTACGTCTTACAAATATCGCGTTACCTCGAAGAACCAGATTGCAAGAACCCGGTGCTTTTTAAATCAGCGCGTCTCAGAGTTGGAACTCGCGTATCCTCACTCTCTTTCTCTTTGCCGAAATGAATGTGCGCGCCTCGTTGAAGTTTTCCGCTTCTTTCCGAAGCGACATTGCGATATAAAGGTGAACGCAAAAAATCACACATCGTCTAATTCAGGTGCAAGATATGCACATCGCGCGTGTGAAATTGCAAAATACAATAACGAAGCAAAGAGAAAGAGAGAGAGTTTCCGATCTCTGGGCAACGTATTTTCACGAGAATCGCGAAATTACACGCACAATTCTCACGACGGAATGAACGTAAAATTATTCTTAACGGATAAATCGCTCGAACAGCGAGCCAATTGCGTGGTCGCGAAGCGGAATCCAGATGTTTCCGTTCGTCGCACACCGACGATGAGAAACGAGAAACAAAGCGGTCTACGGACAGCACAAACTTTTAAGACACTCTAGACGAGATGTCTAAAAGACGTCTACATAAGGAAGCATAACCCTAATCCTTTGAATCCTGGCTTTTTATTCCGAAAATTATCCGTATTTGGTAAAGGAATATTAGATAGATGTAAATGGTTTTTTTCAAACGTTTGATTTCAAACGTGATTTCCAAAGGAAAAATTAAAAAGTTTTATCTTGAAGAGTGAGAAAAAATTCTCTAAACATTCGGTTGAATTTTTCTTTTCGAAATAAATTGAACTAGTATCCACTAGACAACTTCAGAAGCGCTCCATTAAATGTTGTGATAGGTAAATCAAGCGAAACATTTTTATTGGCAAAAACATTACATGCTACATCCTTAAATATACGTATACACCGAGACTCAAAGGGTTAGGACATCTTTTAGGAAAGCTTGCGCTATCCGGTTGATGCATCACGACATCGAGCGAAGTCAGCAGGAGTCGCGCTGCGGACTCGCGATTAGAAGGGTTCCCCGACGTCGTCATCACCGATTCGCTTGAGAGTCTTAATTAACAATTCTGCGGTGCCCACGAATGCGGCAAAATGTACTTCTCAACAGATATACATGGGCACCGCACGCCACTGATTTATTCTAAGGCATCTCTTCGTCTTCTTCTTATGAGCAAGTATGATACAACGGAAATAGGAGAGCGAAGGAAAAAACGCAAAATGCGTCATTTCGTGTGCCGATTCGTTTCGGCGTGAACCATCTCCGACGCGGGTGCGAACGAATAATAATTTTGTGCGACGCGGGTGAGAACGAATATGCGTGTATAACGATTGCAAATTTTTGCACAACTTGAAACTGATTTCTCAACACGGTGTGTTCTATGTGAATACGTGAATAATGTATTAGCTTCATATCATATCATATAAACAATCATATTATCAATATATTACACGACACGTATGTTACGCCACAGTCACAATACGATGAATCGTCGTATCGATTTTATGGTCACGTAAACGTGCAAATTGTGACGTCTGTCGGCGAGTATCGCCGAGTCGCCGGTTTCGGATTGCCTTGCAAATGTGAGTCTGCGAGAGGGAAGCAGAGGCAAAATGCATTTTTATATAATGCGTCGCGCGTTATAAACAAATATAAACACAGAGAAAAAGGAACGCATGACTTTAACAACGATGCCGTTTATTTGTTAGAAATAAATCGTCGCCGCTTCGCGCTGCTTCGAAGCAATAAATAATTTTGTGCTCCCTGTGCAGTCATTATAATAATTATACGATAACATTTATGTTCATCGTAACAATAAATTGGTATATTCCTCCGCCCACATTGCTGTTTGTGTTTTTTTTCCTTTTTCTTCGTTCTTTCGTCTTTTTCTAGAATGTGTCCGCTTCCTTCGAGAAATCCTTAACTGCGTCGTATACTATACAAAACCGACGTGCGGACAAGGATCGTCCGGCGATGTCGTCGGACGGCTCAGGAAAGCATCTCACCGGCTATATGTACACCTTAATTAAACGAAAGCCTTAAGTTTTAAACGAGAGTCACACATCGTGCATGTTCCCAAGCGCACTTCCTCTGAGCTGGAGAAGAGAAGCCCGGTTGGTCCCGGTCTACAATAGGTATCTTAAGCCTTAAGAAATTGACCAATCACAGCTAATTATTCTCCTCACATTCGACTGTGGTCAGACGATTTCTTAAGGCTTAAGACACCTATTGCAGACCTGAAACGGCGCTACTTACGTCCCGGCAACTGTTACTGTTCGCGCGTGCGAACATGTACGTCGCGTAGAGAATCGGCGAATGAGAGACCGCGACATTTTCACCTCGCGCAACGCATCTCGGGTCCAACCCGAGAGGATCTATTCTCTGTACGGAAACCAAGTCTCAGAATTTGCAAAATTAAATTCGAATCATTCCTCAAGTACCTCGAGATGAAGGTGTTGCGAGCTTTCCTCCGCACGCACCGTGTGCACGTCCGACGCGAGAAGGAACGCGCACGGCCGCAGCTTAAACCGCTTAACTTTTTATCGACTCTACACTAGCCGTGGGAATAAATAATCGCAGCGCTACGCGTACATTTATATTTACAGGCTAAAGTGTCGATCGCCGACGACGCGGCGTCGGGAGCGAATCGTACTTTAGACGGCAATGTTTTTTCAGGCTCGTTCGTCTCACCTCGAGAGAGGCGGAAACGGAGATTCGACTCTGCGATCGTCTCTCTCTCTCTCTCTCTNTCTCTCTCTCTCTCTCTCTCTCTCTCTCTCTCTCTCTCTCAACGAATGGCGACGAGTAAAAAAAGTTGTAGCGCAACACAGTTTTGTACAATCTCGCTCAGTTCCGGGGCCATTCAAAATGCACGCTCCTTCTTTTCGATATGCAGCAGTATTTATTTACAGCAATATAGAATCATCGCCGACGTTAATCGACCACATAAGACTACCATTCGCCGCGAGCGACTTACATTTTGCAAACGCCAACTCGTCTCTCTTATCGTATAAAACAATCCCAGCAAACACAAAGCAACAGTTATATATATATAAATGTTAGTAGTGTAATTTTCTACTCAATAATATGACTGTTACGTTAATACATGCATTAAGTAACAGTTATATTATTTAGCGGGAAATTAGAATTAACATTTATATAATTGTTACTTTTTGTGTTTGCTGGGACGAAGTTGGGATGATATTTACACGAACTATTTCTCTGCCTGCCTGGTGCACCCTTCCCCCCCGCCCCTTATTTCTCTCGCTCTCTGCGATTTACAATCGATTCTTGAAATGTCCAAATACTTTCGAATCATTTGCCTATTTCTTTTTACTTTACCTTGGTGTCGAAATATATCTTCTCTAAGCTTACTTAGTGAAAGATCTATCGTTTATATATGTATGTATAAGAGTTTCCGAACCAATGGAGAGAACTATAACAAACGTATGCATATGTATACACCTGTTAAATCAATGTGAACCCGAGCAAATGAAGAAATTGATAATTATCTTCCGATGTAACGCGCGTTTGACTATATATATGTAAAGTATGTACACGCGTCCAGTTGTACCTCGAACGGGCGATCGAACTCCTCAGTGACGCGAAGAGAAATTCTCAAAAGGAAAAAGAGCTCGAAACGGAAAAACTCAAGGGGGGCGGGGGGGGGGGATACGTCGATCGAAGTCTTCACGGCGTCTCCGGAGAAGGCAAAAGAGAGTAAGGAGGGAAAATACGTCTTCCGTAGTTTTCCACGAATAAGAATAGAAAAAACGGCCGTTTTCCGATCGCGACTTCACTTCCGCGGTACACACGGAGTGAAAACGCCGAGAAAGATACATCGTTGAGCGTGGCACGAGCGAGCGAGCCAATAGCGAATTCCAGCGATTCCACAGCGAGCGCGACCCCGCGAGCTCTCCCCGACACCTGTGCTCGAGGCGAACGCTCGTCGTCTCCGGGAACGTCTGAGGAGAAAGAGAGAGAGCGCCTACAAAGCCGACAGGCGGGCGGCTATCACGGATGATCGCGGAAGTGTCCGTGAGATCGACGGTGAGGCAAGGACGCTTACGCGGAAATCGCTCGCGAGGAGGATGCCGATCGACGCGCCGGCGGTAGAAATGGTAGCGACGGTGGTGGTGGTGATAATAATGACAGTGGAGGTGGCAATGGTAGTGGTGGCGGCGAATCAGACCTGTCCGCCAACGTCGGCCTGATACCGCAGCGTCAGGTACTCGGCGGCCTCGGTCATGCGGGCGATGCTGCGGTGAAGGCCGCGCAGGTGGCGCCTGAAGTTGTCGGCGACGACGCTCGCGAGGTCCGCGCATTCCTCGCCCTCCAGGCCGGAGTCGATCTCGATGCCGGCCTCGGAGTCTGAATCCGAAGTGGAGACGATCGAGGAGGCGCTCTGGACGCTCTGCATCGAGGTCGTGCTGGGGCATCGAGCGTGGCCGAGTCTGCCCGCGGAATGGTGTTGCATTGCCGGTGCCAACTCGGCCGAGCTGCCACTGCTGCTGCAGGTACTGCTGCTGCTGCTGCTGCTGCTACTGCTGCTACTCTTGAGGACACCCTGGTCCGCACCCATGTCGCCGTCCTGGGCCGACTCCTGCGACCACAGCAGCTCGGTTTTCATCTGATTGATGATGTTGTAGAGGCGGTACAGGTCGGTGTTGGCCAGAGTGTCCCTCACCGTGTGGCCGCGCTTGCCCTTCATGCTGATCGTGTCGCCGGCATCGCCCACCGACAGGTCCAGCAGCCGGCTCGGCACCAGGATCGTGTCCTCCATTTCGCTCACCGTGCGCACGAACTTCTCCATGATATTCAGGATACTGGCGTTGCTGAACTCCGCCTCATCGTGCAAGGCGATCCTCCGCAGGCTCGTCCTGCAATGAGAAAAGGCCCACCTATCGTCAGTCTCTCTCTCTCTCTCTCTCTCTCTCTCTCATTCCATTAATCATTTCAGATAAAATAATCTCAGACAAAAACTTTGAATGTAACGTATTAATATTCATACTACATGCCAAGGATTTCCTAGTCCCGATACAAAAATATTTCCTACGAAATCTTATAAAAAGCTTTCGACCACTACCTCTGCGTTGAGACTTAAAAAAGGACTTACTAAAACTTTCTAACGTGCACAGAGAGAAAGAAATTGTCACTTCATATCATTCGGTGGTTTCGATTCCGATCGGCAATCGGTCACTTATCCTACTTTACCGCGCTCGCTGTTGCTTAACTTCGATGATTGGACTAGCGTTAACTCCGACGACTCTGACGATGTTCTTGTGCCTTATGTTTAGATAATACATTTTTTGCGCTCATAAAATAATAATAATGACATATTTATTGGTAGACATTAAAAGCAACTTAATGACAGATGATATGACCGTTTTTGTGTTATCTAAATATTATGATGGTTAATTGAAACAACAAATTAGTTGGAAACGAACTCGAACGAGCAAATTAAAATCAAACAAACGGGAGTACTAAATTCAAAGAAACTTTTTATCCGTGCATTTTATGTTCATTTCATTCAAGATAAAGAATTTTTCAAGTAAAAATTGAATTCATTTATTATATTTTTCAAATACCGCTTTGTTTCGGTACTCTAAAAGTAACATTTTTCATTTTTAAATAACTATGTTTTTTTTTTAGTGGACATCACTAAATTATCTTTTTTCTTTGCGAAGAACTATCTTCCAGGAATGTGAATCTACAAGGGTTTTGTTTTTGTTCAGCGCGTTTAAAAGTTATGAACCTTTTCCTTTAAATAGAAAAATCGCATGTTTCCCCCGTGTTTTCTTAAAAGAAAAAAAGTTATGAACGTTGAAGGTAAACAACGTTTATAATAGAAAGTAGAGGCTTGAAGTAATGTCAAAACTTTTTCCCGATATTTTTTACTTATATATAACGAGAGATATGGTTCTGTCCACAGATGATTCACGAAGTTATATGGCGTTAGTGAAAAACAGCGAATCACATGGAGAATAAATAAAGTTTTCGCGTTGACGCGCAAGTGTGTCGCGTGGAGATGCGTCCATGTGTATGAAAAAATCATTGTATCCGTATGTCATTAATAGTTATTACATTCCGATCTCGTTACAGCGTAGAAAAGAGGGTAGTAATTAACATACTCGTGTTTCACGTATATTAATGTTCAAATTTTACAATCAATCAATTTTTCATCAGCTTCGATAAGACGCGCGTGCAGCACGTGAAATAATTTCAGAACAGGTATTTGCGGATAATGAGCATTTATAGTACAAAATCGCTTTAGAATCTCATGAGACCGAGAGACGCGTTGACATTCTTAATTTATTATCCTTCCGTTTCACACACGCTGTTCGGGGACTGAAATCGTACTGCGTAAAAATTTCAGGAGCTAAAAGTGCCTACTACACGCAAAAATTTGTCGTACTCCTTAGCAAGGTAAATTCTATTGTCAGATTATTTCCGCACTTTGCCGTAGATTAAGACAAAATTGGAAGCAATTTGTATGAAAGAGAAAAAAAAAACTTTAACGTCTGCGGTTGACGCAAGGCCGTTGTCTCGCACGTGTATTTATAAATCTTATAATCCACATGCAAATAGCCGCAATTTATTATACTCCCCAGAAATTCCCGGTCTTTTGCCCGTACGGGAGGTTCAAAGGTCGTTCGGAAGATTCCGCGTACTTTCACGAAGTCAACGTTTTAATCATTGTCGGGCCGGCATTGAGATAACACTGCTAACACGTGCCTCACATACTCCATGATAGCAGATGAATAGACCGATGTTTGCTCGACGGTTGGAAATAGATGCACAGCAGTCAAAACGCACCGAAGAGATTACATGAGTGAAAAAGAAACATCCCGGTGTTACGTCGTCGCGAAAGAAAAGAGCACCGGACGAAGAGAATTTTACGGTCAGTCAAACTAAAAGTCAAAATAAAAGTCGCCGCTAGTTTTTCTAACCGAGCAACACACCGACATTTTGCCTTAACTTGCTAAAATTTACTAGTAAAATTTGTTTTAAAAATTTAACACAGGGTACGTACGGGAAGCATGTTATCAACGTTAAAACATGATTCTACTTTTAATTCTACTTTTTGATTCTATTCGAAAGGATTAACAAGAAAAATTCTAATTGATAGTCTACTATGTAGTAGAACACACGGTGAAATTTAGAAGAATTGATACAAAGAAAAGGCTATAATATTCTCTCCGTATGGATTTCTCAAACGATTTGTATGCATGCATGCTTGGCAGTCACGGTGGCGTAATGAGCGCGAATGATGCAACGTTATCATCGTGCACGCGGTGTCGCGTGAGTGTGATACTCGAAAGAGGAACATCATCATCCAGTGATGTCGCAGATATCTGTCCACTCACTTCGCAACTGCGATTACTTCATAGTCTCGAGAAAAAATCGCTAATGACTTTACCAATTTGTATGTAAATGATGTTCCAATATAAACGGCAATTTCGATCGTATTTTTTTCCTTTGACTTTGCGCGGACAGTAATTTTTTTAATCGACTTCTCCGTATCGAGAATGTAAATAGGGCGTCGTTGCGATTTTATTCGGTTTTCGCGTTCAGCTCTCAGCTGCCGGTGTGATCAAAGTTTAAATTAAAGTTTCGTTAAAGTAAAATCGACTTAGAGAATTATCCGAAGAATAAGTCTTCGTCATTCGTAAGATTCCAAAAGTGTTGTTTTTTTGAAAAACGATCGCTCACTCTAACCAGAAATTTAGCAATACTACATTCCCCCTTTTAGAGCAAAAAATCGATCCGAAGATTTCAAGGCGTGATTAATTCGAATTGAAAGTGCGAGATTTTATTTTGCGCTTCAAAAAACACGGATATATTCGTATGATAAGATAATTATCAGATTTTACAGATTACTATATCAATTAATTCCGGACAGAACCAGATTTATTGCGCAAATAAAAGGCGTGGTTTAATTAGCGAGGTGATAATAATGCGTCATTGTATTCGAGAATTCTCCTTGAGTTTCCTCATGTAACGCGAGCGTTCTTCAGAGAAATATCTCGCGATATCGCAGCGATATGTCATAATTAACGGCTGCTTTATTTGCTTTCCCCACTAAAGCGATAATGATCATTACTAACACCCTGTCATGTGAATTACCGGTGATTCACACAGAATTTTCTGTTCAGACCCCCTTGAGAGAAATCTTAGCTCCAAATAAAATATAATAATGAAATACTTTTGTCATTATTTTTATAAGACATATGCGTGTTATTTGAAAAAAACACAACGTGTGATATATATATGTGTGTTATTTGAGAAAAACACAATGTGTGATAAGAAAATATTGGAAGATTACACCACTCGTAAAAGCAATTGGAGAGCACTTTCATTGAACTTTTAAAGGTGTATTACGTGTGAAATCATTATCTCTCCTCGAATTGTTCGCGGATCTTACGCGTGGATCTCAATTGTTTTGCATTTTCGATCAGCGGAGCGCAACAGATTTTATCGGAGATCCGTATCTTCGCGATCGCATCAAATAGTTGATGTGTTCGATGACACGCTCATAAACAATAACAACAACGATGATGACGACGCATTTTCCCTTTTTTCTCCGTGAAAAAGCAGAAGAGAGGACGAATTTAGCCGCGTCAGCCGCGTATGATAGACTTAGGCAAATTATATATATGTATTTGAAATAATAAACAATAAATAAATCTATAAATCACACATTTTTTTATTCAGAAATCATCGAATAATGATATTTACTTAAATAATTCATTGAAACGGATACACAAATTGTTTATTTGTTATTTGTATTATTCATTATTAGCATTATTTTTTATCTTGCTTCTTCTCTATTTATTTTATAAATATAACAAATAAGTAATAAGTATTTTTAATAAAAAATTATGTTCGTTTTAATATACTATTGGGATAGTAATATAACGATTGTACAGCATATTGAGTGAAAATAATATAATGAAATGAGTTCACACACAAACATACGCACGCACGAACAACGAATGATGTGAATAACGAATAATGCGGATAACAGTGAGTTATCGCAAACAACAAGTAAAATTGATTGATCCAAATAACGCGTTAAGTAAAAATTTATTCGAATAACGTCCAATTCTGGCGTGCGGCAGCAGCGGCGGCGGCCGTTTTATCGCACGTTTTTACTCGCCGAAGCAAGGTCTTCTCGTAGAATTAATCGGGAAATCGCGTTCGTCGAAGCGCACCCTGATCCATCTACACAGCCGGACGATGGACCCGCGTACGGATAATTGCACGTCGATCAACTAGCGGCTATCGAAATTCGCGGCAAAGTCCATGCGCGCGTTCCAAAGGTCCGCGTGCTTAATAATACTCTGGCACTCAGAGCGTATTATTATGTTCACACGTGTGCTTGAATTGATGAGACCGCTTTGTATGTTAATCGACGTAAACATCCATATTAAGGGCACGCGCGTCCAATGTATTTGTTATTACAAACGCATTGACAGCGCGAATTACGAAAACTGCCGATCACGCCGGGAAATCGTGGATGTGCACGTGCATACGAGCGAGCGACAGAGCGATCGCTCTATATATATGTGTGCGTGTCGTCAACTCGACCCCGCTATTGTTCTCCTTTCTTTCTCTCTCGTTTGCCTTACGTTCACCTTACGGTGTGGTGGAAAAAAACGACCGTTTGAAATTCCAAACGTAACTGCGTTATGCGCGCTAATTAATTTGCGGGAACGTAGTTTACATCACGACCGTTCAAACTGAAAATCATGATTTTTTACAACAGCGATTACGTAAGAAAGCGCGGCGTTATCGCGCAAACAACTTTATCGTCGACATTGTCGAATACGATATTCGATAATGCAACTCTTGTCGTGCGCTCTCCCTTGCTGCGCAA